TCAGCAGGTAGTGCAGCTTTCAAGAGAACCCATCTATATGTGGAGGCTGAGAAGAAGTTGTATAAGGCTTGCAAAAATCTGGAATATGAAAGACCCAAGGCAACTGCTGGCAGCTGATGCTCCTACAAGGTTCAAGGAGTGACCAGCACAAGGGACATAATATGCCAGGGGATTCATAACCATTATTCTGGCTTGGAGACCAGTGTAAATGCCTTACATATTGACAACATTGTCATAACTCTGCCCTCTCATGTCACTCAAATCAAGACCAACATCTTTAATTAACTGTACAACAGTTGAGGCTATGCTCTCTGCACCATGGTCATGTATGTCTATGAACTTTAGAAATCGCTCAACAGGTTTGCCATCAGGTTTGACATAACGAACTATGAATGTAAGTTGGTCAGTATGAATAACATTCGGTGTGGAATCTACACTAACTGAATAATATTTGGCTTGTTTCACTTCACTTACGATAATTGAGTGAATTTCTTCAGCCATCAGATTGACCATTTCCTCACAAATCGTTTTTGAGAGATATGAAGTTTTTCCACTACCTACAGCACCACACTTCTCTAGATGCTGTGCAAGAAAAGGGTCAAATTTTGCCAGGAGTTCCAGTACTCCAAGGTAATTCCCATTGTTGCGAGAGCCTATTCTTTCATCACTACCTCTGAGAGGAAGACCTCTTGATGTTAAAAAGTTTAGTGTTTCAACTATGCGCAATAAAACTTCTTTCCAGTATTTTCTCTCCAATTCTATTTGCAAAGCCAAAGTCAAATCAATTCGCCTTGCTGTAATTGCCCTCACACCCCAAGTAGTAACTGAGATTTTATGCTCTTTGCTACTTTCGTGTTCAGCAACTCTACGCTGGCAGTTTTTCCAGTCGCTAAACCCACTAGTAAACAATGAGACTTGCTTGTTGAATAGCTTGCATGGAACACAAAATACATCTCCAGTTTTTGGAGAATACACAAGCCATTCCCTTTTAACTTTTTCATCATTTGCCATTTGACGTGTAAACAAGGATTTGGGCACATATCAAACTCTTTCCTTTTCACCCACATTTTCACTTCTTGCAGATCATGAGAAGTCACCTTGTTCACAATTTAGATCAAGAGGATGGTTTAGTAAATACTCAATCAGTTTATCATCAATTGTCAGCCAGTCAGCTGGATCACTTGATACACACAAATCAACACTGACACCTTGTTCCACAGAATGTTTCTTATAAGTCAACTGTGATGAATCGGATGAAGCTTCAGTCACAGGTGGTACTTCCATTGCTGTAGGTGCTGATTTACTTAATCTCTGTGACTGTGACTCGGCTGACCTCGCTTCGTCATCTGAATCATGAAAGTGAACATCTACTGTGTCATCCCCTGGAGTTTACTGTCACTGGTACTTGGATCTGAATCTCCTTTTGGTTTAAAAAAATTTTGTCAGCTTTGGAACTGATTGTGGTTGTGCAGCTTTGGCTGCTTCTAACTTTCTCTTTTGTGAGCCACTCAGATATTTTTTCAGGGACGACATATTTATCTCATGAGAATCCCCAAGAATAATCAGTAAGCAAAAAATTAGTGTAAGTCTATAAGAGATACCAATATCACAAAAAATAGACACAAAAACACACGTAATATAACACTGAAGTCCATTTAATGCAACATGTAAAATATCATTAGTAAATAATGAGTGCCGCGTACACAATACAAAATATCACTGAGCTGAGGCTGAGAAGATACTGACTGGCTGAGCGAGCTGTCAGCAAATCAACGGTAACCCTGACACGTACTGAACGTGAAACGATCCTGTCCTTCACACGTCAAGGCGCTGAAGGTTTCTTGAACTTTATTCTCTCTCTCCAGTATATATGTATGTATAGATAGATAGATAAATAGATAGATAGCTAGATCGATGGTGGGGCACAGACATTTAAAAATTGTATACAGTCAACCCTCACATTACGCGGTTAATGTAACCCGGAGGGTACCGCGGAAAGTGAGGAACGAGTAAAGTGAACAACATAACATATGGGATTAATTGAAATGGAGTCCAGGCCGATCCCCAAACTCCACTTTTTGACGACACATAACTATGTTGCAGTAAAAATTTTATCTTAACTTTATGATGGTATGAAAAAACAAGTAATATAGAAGAGGTTAGGTTAGGAAAGATAAAGGTTAACATAGGAAAAATAAAGGTAAGGTTAGAAAACTAAAAATTATGTGGAACACTTACGGTAGTAGAAGAGATGGGTCGGCATACGGGGATGGAGGCTGGTTCCGAGGCAGAGGGCAGATTACTGGCCCTCAGGTGAATCACCATTACTAAGGTGAATCATCATCACTGTCACTTACAGTTGTCAGGGCTTCCCTGACAAATCCCTCAAAGTCAACTTCACTGTCACTATCACTGGCTTGGGCTGGCTGTGGTGGGTTGCGGGTGAAGAAATCTGTTATGCTTTGCTGACGGCTGGCGTTGATGTTGTCGTGATACACCTTGATGTACGGCTCCATAGCCTGCACCAGCCGGTTATGGAAGACTTCATAGCGGTCATCGTCATTGTCGCGGGAAAGGAAGGACTTCATCTTCTCTGCACACTCCATGGCACCCTTAATATCACTATGACTTAAATTGTGTTCTTCGGAGACTGCCGCACCTTCTTCCTCCTCTTCACTGACGTGTTCTTCTTCCAACATCTCGTCGGCAGTCACTTCAGGATTTCTGATCACCTCCAGGATGTCGTCGTTGGTGGTCTCGGAGAAGCCTGGAACTGTAACAGTCTGCGCAGCTTCTCTGGCAAGGTCCACTGCTACTGCAACATTCTGAACCTCACCAGTCACAGATTGACTCCTCCTCTCACCTGGTATTCCATGCAACACATGTCTCCATGCGTGACGAATTGTAGCAATAGACAGCTGATCCCATGACTCCACCAAGATGTCCACAGCTTTCTTGATGTTAAATACTCTCCAGAATTGTTTGAAGAGTATTTTTTGCTGTTCTAACTGTTGTTCCTCATCTTCGTCGCTCTTGCTATCGGTGGTGGTGTCACTCAGGTTACGCAACTCTTCCCTGGTGTTGGTGTAGTCGTTCAGGAGCTGGAATTTTTTTGTTGAGAATGCAGCTTTCACATTGCAAATCAACTCCTGGTCCATGGGCTGTAATATAGACGTAGTGTTGGGAGGAAGGAAGACCACTTTTACGTTGGGGTGACGATCTAACAGTAGGGGCGAGTGTCCTGGTGCGTTGTCCAGCAGCAACAAAATATTAAATGGGACATTCTGTCGCTCACAGAATTTCTTTACATCGGGAACAAAACAGTCATCAAACCAGGAGAGGGACAGTGTAGAGAACATCCATGCCTTACGTGCTGTCAGCCAGTGGACATTTAGCTTGGTCATGTCCATGCTCTTGTAGGCGTGCGGCTTGCGGGCTGTGTGGATCACCGATAACTTGAGCTTACAGGTACCGGAGGCATTGGTGGTAAACAGGACGGTGATGCGTTCCTTCTGCATTTTCCGGCCCCGAATCCTGCTGGCATTCTTCACAACGAAGGACTTGGAAGGTAGTTTTTTCCAGAAAAGACCAGATTCGTCCATGTTAAACACCTGGTCGTCACTGTACTGTCCTTCCTCCATAATCTCACGTAAAAACGGAGGAAATTCCCGAGCCGCAGCACGATCAGCACTCGCTTCTTCACCACCAATGTTTATATTGGTGATCTTGTTCCGGATCTTAAACCTCTGTAACCACCCAGAGGAAGCATTAAAGGGTTTGGGCTCTGAAGTTCCCATCTTTCGTGCCACTGCCATGTACAGTTCACGTGCGTAGTCCTTCACAGAGCGCGTGTCGACCGCCATGTTCCGTCGCGCCTGACGCACCAAGTACCTCACAAGTAATTTTTCTGTCTTGAGAAGCACCTGGTTGTGAAAATACTTGATCATAGAAGCACCTGTAGACTTTGTGATCTTCATGTGCTCCTTTATCTTGGCTGAATCCTTCTTTATAGTCCGGATCGTAGATTCGTTCACGCCATGCTGGCGCGCCAAATCAACCTGCCTTGTTCCTTTCTCCAACTCTTGGATGATGCTATACTTCACCTCGTAGCTTAAGGAACGTCGTGTCTTCTTTGGTTTAGTGCCGCTGGGTCCAGGTAAGGAAAGGTTTCTCTCTGGGGGTGGTGGTCCGGCGGAAGCCATTTTACGGAACAATGGATGCGCGTTTACACGGAGTGGCCTGGAGGGATGAAACTGCCGCGGCTAGGTCAAGCGTCGTCTCTCCTCCCTCCCTCCCTCCCCCGGGTGGACACGTCATAATACTTTAAGCCAATTACAGCTAGCAGCAGAGGCGGGTAGGGATGCATGGCCAATCACAGGTCTGATACGTCATATGACGTCAGTGATAACGCAACAAAGACACACACTGCGCAACCTTACCGCGCCGCTTGCCCAAGCGGAGGGAGGGAGAGGCAGGCAGGCGGGCGGGTGGGTGGCGCATGGGGCAAATCTAAAAATAGCGTCGCGCCGGACACTCTCCGCGTAATGGCGTTCACGACCGCGTAATGTGAGCACGTGAGGTTCTGGCAAGGCACCGCGTTAACGGTGAACCGCGGAATGCGGGACCGCGTAATGTGAGGGTTGACTGTATATATTTATTTTTATTATCTTATTTTCTTCATTTTACTATAGGGCCTAGTCCGTGGCCCACCTGAGAACCACCCCATGGCCCACCAGTTGAAGACCACTGCAGCCCTATACTTATTGTACAGGGGCCCTTATGGTTGTGCATATATTATATAATGAAATACTCGGTGTACACTTGAAACAAGGTTATACGCTAGCATGCTGCGCGACAAATTAGTTTCAGTGGGCCCCCAGATACCGGTGGGCCCTAGGCCAATGGCCTACTTGGCCTATTGGTAAATCTGGCCTTGTTCCCAGTGCAAGCAAATGGCTCATGATTCACACATTTTAAATAACAAAGTAATACAGATTTCTTCTAAGAATTTTATGTTGCTTCTCAGTACAAACTAAGATTACATAGGGTAGTACTTGTACAGTAAAACCTTGATTTGTTTGAACTTAATAAATATAATTTCTCTTAATGCTTCACATAGTTCAAACCAAAACCAAGAAATACTACAGTTTAACAAGGAAAAACTCAGAATAAATGTGAAAGGAAAAACTCAGAATAAATGTGAAAGAAACAACTGGGTCTTAACCAATATGGGGTTAATGTCAAAAGTAATGCAGTAATGCTAGGGTATGTGGCAGAATGATACGTGTTGAGTTACGGTGACGGAGTGAGGCTAGCAGTAGCAGTTGTGGTGAAACGACACGCAAGTTGTACCTACTGTATAAACGCTGCCCAAAGCAGTTCGCATATCTGTACACTGTTTTCTTTAAATAAAATTATGTTACCTAACATGTTGACAAGGCTGTAGGAAATTATAATAAATAGAAGACTTACTGTATGATTGCTATTCATGGAATTGAGTTTAATATGTATGGTACAGTACAGTAATATGTGAAGTTCAATAATGCTCATCTACCAATTCAGTGTTTATTTTTTCATAAAGTTAAATTTTTGGGGGGAAAGTGATAAGTCTTGAAGGCCCAGGGACATTACTCCTTTTTCCTATAAGAAGTGAAATTTCATGTGCAGGAATTACAATTGAATGGAAGAAAAGTAAAATATCCTTATTATCTTTCATCAATGACACCTTAAACCTTTATCAGTTTATAAAAATGGGAAAAATATAAAATGGTTAAACAAAAACAAAAGAGTTGTGTTACACCCCCCTAGTGTTATGTTCCAAAACCCACAACAAAGAATTTGGGTAAAGTGACAGCAAAACTTCGAGGTTCAAGACTGATTGGGGAACCTTACCAAAATTCATCATCATGGGTTTCAGAACATGAGGCATGTTGAGTATAATGCAACTTTTTTCTTTGACTGTACCCGTTGAAAAATACTGTAAATTGAAAATCTTATAAGCAACATACATAGTTGGAAATTACAAAAAGGAGCAAATAAACTCCAGTATACAGCTCAGGTGTCATCTCCTTAGTCTCTTCCTTTTCTTCTTAGAGATTTGAGGAAATATTTCATCATCGCTGCTACTTAAATAACATATATCCCTCTTTCTGAAAAATCTGAGAACTTTTTCATGGGAGCAAATTCTGTCTGGATTACTATTGTCACAATGGCACTTGCGATTTCTAGTAACACGTCTGGGAGATACCACTAACTTTGATTTTTCAAAAGGGTTTGCAAGTCGAATAACTTTTGGCACTTGGAATTTATTTCTATGTTGTCTCTGCTGTGATTGAATGCGAGTATAAGGTGTTTTCCTGTGATCTTCAGAAAACCAAGGGTAGCGCAATGTACAGTCTTTCATTAGTCCAGGTGGAAGCTGTGACCTGGATGAGATACAGGAATTTACATTTATAGCATACATGAAAATCAGTGTTATGCTCTTGTTCCCTATTCACACAACAATAATATATTTCATGGTTGGTTATAATCAGAAGCAATATTTATATCTAATATTCCTGTAGGGTAGACTCTTGATTTGATACACAAGAAAAGACCCTGTGAAATGAGATTTGATTACAAATCTAAATTTTCTTCTCCAGATGAGTGCACAGAACAAATAAATATTGACACTGAGTCCTTTTTATAGCACCTTTGATTGACACCATTTGTTTTTATGTAGCTAATGCTTAAAAAGTTATTTACATAATACTTACAAATCCATAGGCACCATGCCACACCACTGTAAAGAAGAATCCTTAGGTTTTTTGGCCATAGTTCTTCCTGAGTGGACAGATCGAACTTTGCAACGACCAATGATATAGGACACAAGAGATAGTAACTGAAGTGAAGGCTCAGATACATGCGCAGATACAAGCCTCAGTGCACACTGTCGAGCCACACCCACCACAGGATAAAAACTGGTATCACGTGATAGATTTGTATACTGAAATCCTGGAATATAAAATAAAATTCCATAGTACAGTATCTATAAAAAAAAAAAAAAAGTTAATTTTATCATCTAAATACCATTGACAATTTTCAATAAATATGCAGGAGAATGATGACATTTCAAAGTGCACATATCTATGCATATACGGGTACTGCTTTCCATAAAAAAATCCAGGAGTTTGAAAATTCAAAACTGCTACATTGTCTAACACTAAACCGAATACAGTACATACCAATGATTTTGTTGTTGAGAGCAAACATAAGTGTTCCCTGGATGAGATCAAGGTGGACTGTCACAAAGTTTTTTGGAAAGAGGCGATAATCTTCATGGACAATGGCAACGTTATTGTGGCACAATGATCCTGAACAGAAAACAAAAACATGAATGCAAATGAAATCTGCTCCAGAACAAATAATCTGGTGTAAAGTACAACCAAACTTTAATGGATTTTTTTTTTAATTAAAATGGCAATATATATAGCCAGTGAGAAACTAGGAAGCCACAAGGAAATTTCCCAACAATGAAGGCAGTTCCTGGTAATGTAGGAATAAACATTCAAGTGATATGGACATGATATTTGAAAAATAAAACAGTAAATACAAGCATGGGAAGACACTAGTGAAGGAACAGTTGCAATAAGAACTAACAATCTACAATGATGGAGGGGCCATGTAACAAGTACATAACTGCAGTGATATTAGAAAGGTCCCACAGTTTCTCCATGGTAAGCATGGCACTCTGACAGTTTAACTCAGGATGTGTTCCATCGTTAACCTAGTCTGGCTTGCCATGGAATTCTTGGACTTTGTATGCCTGTGCAAACTTGCTGTATCCATGGAACTGCAATGGTTGAGCAACCTGGTGCAAGCCATGTGATGAGCAGTTCACATGGGCAGGCTGTCTTGAAAAGGCCTTGAATGAATACAGGATGATTTCTCTCTGCAGGAAGTGGTTGTACTCTTACACAAAAAGCACCTTCTCTCAATTTAAAGACTTGAAAAGAGGCCCCCTTAATTTCGTCCTTAATCCAAACAATCAATATGGCTTTCATCTTTTTCATTCTTGATCCTTCCTGAAAACTATTCTTCTTTGTACAGTACCATTAAGCAAGCTGGCTGCAACAAAAGCTCTAATTTTCTCCACTGATTCTTCATTCCCATATATACTTGTCTATAATTTTACCTCGTTTATAGGTCAACCCTGATTTTTTGACCAAGAAATCATTAATTTATGATATGCCTCGTTTATAGGTCAACCCAAGTTTTTGAGGGTAATGGAACAGCAAAACCTTCACTAATAACACTCTACGTCCTATAAACTGAGGCTCGCCGTGCCTGAAACACCGAGCGCCGAAGGCAAATTGTTTACCATTATTACGACACTTTACACTGAAACGCGGGTAGTTTCAGCAAAAATATTGTATATTTCCATTGAGGTATTTATTCAAGTCAATTAGGAGGAAATATTATTGTAATACAAAAGTTTTTTTTAACTGAAAACCATTCGAAAAACGATTACGGTAACATCTTTTGAATAACGAAAGAAAGCAAGTCGATTGTTTTCGTCATGGTTTTATCCCACTTTCCACTGTAATACATACGTCATTTCAGCAAAAATATTATATTTCCGTGAATGTATTATATCAAGCACAGTATGAATAGAATATCATTATAATATAACAGTACTTTAACCGAAAACTATTAAAAAAACGAGTAACATCTCTTGAACATCGGAAGGTTAGATAAAGTCTTTTGTTTTCGTCCTGTATTTTATCTTATTTTACATTGAAATACATCACGTTTCAGCAAAACTACTATTTATTTCTGAGAATATATTCATTCAGGCGCAGTTTAGGTAAAATATAATTGTGATGTAACAGTTTTTTAACAGAAAACGATTAGAAAAACACGTGTACCGTGATACTCAACAGCTGGTGGTGCGTCGTACCATAACACCAGAAGCAACTGGCCAGTGTCACAAGTATATACAGTACAGTCATCCCTTGGTAATCGCGCCTAATTGGGACCCCGCCGATAACGAAAGTACAGAATCTATGGGATTTATTCTAATTGGTTCAAGCACCCAAAACCCAACCCCAAGTTTCCCATTTTACGACCATTTAGACCCACTAAATACATATATAATGTTAAGGTAAATATCATAAACACACATAGGCATGGCTAGGTTTAGTACAAAGTGATGAAAAGGGTACGCTTAATACTGTAGTCCACAAAACATGTAGCTATGCTTTTTTAATTTGGTCACCCGTCATACGAGTCCGTTTTCTTTCACATCAGAACGCCTGAGTCCTCCGTTTTCTCTCTTAATCTTAGAGTGCACCAGAAACTTTACTATTTTTAGTTATGCCACAGAATTTGAAATTGCAACCCCAATTGCAACTGGGGTTGCAATTGTTGAGGCAACTAGATATGTCTGATTGCAGCAAATGTGTTATTGTCAATTTGTAGGTGAAAGATTTTATCTTCAATAGATGTAGGTTAACATTTCACCTGTAGGCAAATGCTTAAAAAAAAGCCTAAGTAAGGAAGCATATTCCTTTAACACATAATACCTGACCAGTATGGGGAGGATCATCGTGTCTCTGTCAGGGGGTTGTGGAGTGGTGGTCCAGCAGGCATCACGTTTTTTGGGGGGGAGGGGGGGGGGGAGCACGGACGTATATGCGATCGGACGTTAACCGGCGCATGACTGTATATTTTTTTATATTTAATATTGATTTTCTACAATTTTAAGACCTTTTCTTTTATTTAAGTACAGTACACTCGCCAACAAAAGTCCTGTCGCCTCACCTGCCTCTTAATGAGCCTAGAGATTCAGAGACTTCACAAGTCTCTCAATCTCTGGGTTCAGTAAGAGGTAGAAGCAACAAGACTTTTGTTGGCGAGTGTAATCGCTCATCGGAGCAATTGTGGTTCTGCTGGACAATAAGACCCTTGTTGTTGACGCGATGAGTATAATTCGGTCAAAACCTGTTGAATACATTTCACATATAACAACTGCTGATACATCAAGACACACAGTTTGAATAATATGATCAATATACAGTACATTAATACACTTATTAAAGTTATTTAGAGTTCTCAGAGGATTCATCAATTCACAATCACACTCACGTTTTCGGGTCTAGGGTTAGACCAACTAGAACAAATATAATGTCCTGCAGGAAGATGTTGCCTTTACAGTAGAAGGCGATAGTCTATCCCTCAGGTGGTCACACAGCTGCTACCAGCTCCGTCTTGCTTAGTAAGCTATTCTGAGTTGTAAACAGTCTCTTCACTTAACATGTGGCTGGCACGCACAGCTGTGCGGGGCGATAACACTCCCCCTGTTGGGCTTCGCTCAAAACCACAGCCTACCATTAGATTCACTCTCTTCAACAGGCAGAGTCTCGTCGCTGAGCATATTAACACTGAGTCCTTTGTCTTCACTTTAACACTTCGCACCAGGCCATCTTTGCTTGGTAGAGCCTCCAGTACTCTCCCTAGCATCCACTGACTCCTGGGGAGGGGTTGTCCAGAGATGATCACGATATCCCCAGTGTGGAGATTGCACCGAGTTTTGAAGAATTTTTGTCACCGATGTAGTGTTAGGAGATATTCCTTACCCACCTCTTCCAAAATTGGTCCGCGATGAATTGGGCACGCTTCTATCTTCGTCGGTAGGGGTTCATCCGTAGTATGTGAAGCAGCATTAGCGCTTCTAGATCCTTTGAATCGTCAGACACTGGGGTGATGGGCCTTCCATTGATGATCTCTTCTACGGCGCAGAACAAAGTGTTGAGTTGTTCATCGTCTAGTGTCTGGGTGCACACCATTCCCTGGAAGACCTTCCTTACATTGCAGACTTGTCGCTCCCACACCCTGCCCATATGAGAAGCTGTCAGGGATTGAACTGCCATTCTATCTGTTTCTGTAGGAGGGCATTCCTGACCTTGTCACTGTTGTTCCAGCTGCTCACCACCTCTCGTAGCTTTCGGCTAGCTCCAATCATGTTGGTTCCCCTGTCAGACCGAATACGCTTGGGAAGTCCCCTGCGGGAGGTAAATCTTGTCAGGGCGTTGACGAACGAGTCGGTGTCCAGTGAGGTGAGGACTTCTAGGTATATGGCTCTGGTGGTCAGACAGGTGAACAAGCATCCCCATCTCATCGCCCGGGCTCGGCCTTGTTTAACTACAAAAGGGCCGAAGCAATCAATTCCAGTGTAGGTGAACGGCCGACCTCCTGGGCGCACTCAATCTTCTGGCAGGTCGGCTTGGTGTTGATGGGTAGACCTCCAGTTGCTCCTCCGACAAGTCACACACGTCCGTATTGTGCGGTCGAGTAATTTGTGGCACTTAGGTATCCAGTACGTTTCACGTATTGCGGCAAGAGTGTGTTCTCATCTTGAGTGTCACACTAGCATGACCACATAATCAATGTAGGGACTCATTGCACAACTGATGTCACAAACACTACTGCGGCGCCCTTACTTACACACCGTTACTTAGCTGTCACAACTTTCTTTTCTGACACAGCTCCTCTTCCTACCGCTCCATACGATGACGTGATCCTCAGCAGCTCCCACGATGGTCCTATCCCACGCTTTGACTGTAATCGCTCATAGGAGCAATTGTGGTTGTGCAGGACAATGAGACCCTTGTCGTTGACGCGATGAGTATAATTCGGTCAAAACCTATTGAATACATTTCACATATAACAACTGCTGATACAACAAGACACACAGTTTGAATAATACAATCAATATACAGCATATAACCTGTGAAATATAACTCACATGTAACAACTGCTGATACATCAGGACACACAGATTGAATAATATGATCAATATAAAGTACATAAATACACTTATTAAAGTTATTTAGAGTTCTCAGAGGATTCAACAGTTCACAATCACACTCACGTTTTCGGGTCTAGGGTTAGACCAACTAGAACAAATAGAATGTCCTGCAGGAAGATGTTGACTGACGAGAATCAAGATGTTGCCTCTGCAGTAGAAGGTGATAGTCTACCCCTCAGGTGGTCACACAGCTGCTACCAGCCCCATCTTGCTTAGTAAGCTATTCTGAGTTGTAAACCGTCTCTTCACTTAACATGTGGCCAGCACACACAGTTGTGCGTGGTGATAACAGCGAGTGTACGTCTCCAGAGAAAATGTTGAATACCCATGTACTGTATTCCTACTATGTTACTTTTTTCCATAAATCACTTTACTTGCAGATTACTTTTATGTGACATGTTGCTTAAAAGGTGCAGGGAAAAGGAAAAGATATACCAGTTTGTTCTGAAGAGGAGAGAGTGGAAATTGAAGGAACAGAATGTAAGAGAAGCCTTTTATGCTGACTTTAGAAGAGTGGAATCAGCTAGTAACTGTGTGAGCGGTAGTGTAGTGAGATGCTGGGCCAAAATAAAGAATGTTCTGTTAAGGAAGGTCCCAGCCGGACTTGCAGTAACATGGTAGTGGAACAATGAAGTGGTCAGTGATACTGCAGAAAAGAAGACTGTATAAGGCTTGGGAATTAGGTCCTAACAACAAGGAGTATCTGATGGTCAACCACAGGGCCAGAAGAGGGATCTATAAGACAAAGAAGTGTGAACTGGATGCATTTGTGGCTATGGTGATCTTCGACTCATTTGGGAAAAATTCGGGATGAAAGTCGGAAAAACTGGGGATTCTGTATTTCAAGTGCGCTTCATTGCAATACTGTAATGTGGCCTAGAAATAAAGAAAATACCCTGCACTGTACAGTATTTTAGAGTAATAATAAAGTAAATAATACAGCAATAAATAAATGTAACATTTAAATTGTGAGATGAGCTGATAATACATATACAGCTCCTCCCAGACTTACGACCAACTCGACTTACGACCACCCGCACTTAAGACCCGCCTCAGTCGTACTAAAATTTTGTCAAATTACGTATTTTCGGGTCCCAACGTCAGTACACAGACAAAATTTTTGTTTGTAATTCACATTAAAATGGCTGGCAAGCTTAAAAATATGAGTTTTGTGGTGCTGAGAAGAAAAATAGACACCCATTTTAGATTTTCTATGTATTATTTAAGCATTTTCGACTTACGACCTGGATTTGGGTCCCTAACCCCGTCGTAAGTCGGGGAGGAACTGTATTCCAAAAGTGTAATGGTTACACTGGTAAATAAAGTAAAAACCCACATTAGAGAAACAAAAGACAAAATCTTGGAGCTGGTATACTTGGACCCTCTTCAGTCAACTAACAGAACAGAGCAAGAGAGAAAGACATAGAACAAAGGAATCAGGTCACATGACCTGTTTATCTCCTGAGTTGAGGTAGGATGGAGATTAGGGATAATCTTCTTGATGACAGTATTCAGAATCAGGTCCAGGGTCCACTGATATTATTTCTCGTTTTTTCCTAGTTTAGTGATAATTTCATTTAGCGATCAGTTTTTCAGGTACGCATCCCAATCACTAAATGAGGGATACTGTATCTGTATTTCCCTTACTATTATGTTTATTATTGGCTTATCACTGCATACTTAAAACATTGTTATTATAATTTTTTTTTTTAATTTTGTGGCATTTTAAGACATTCCAAAGATTTTGTATTTTTTTAAGAGGAACATATGTCAGCTTTGAGAATGGAAGTCTGAGGGAAAATTTGCTTAAATTTACAAACAAACTTACTTATAAGATGAATTGGTTAAAATATGTATCTACGATAATTAATTTAAAAATAAACTACCCTAAACATCCATACTCTACTTAAAAAATCAAGAGAACTTTTGCATAAGGAAATACAAACACAAAAACACTAAACTACATGGCACCTTCTTCCTGCTGAAGAAGGTGTACTATACTAATGAAGATGACAGAAGAATAGATGTTACAATGGGGCTTGAATAATGATCTTTCAAACAGTAACCACTAATTTAAGTTAGTTCCTAATACAATTTATGCTTAAAAACATACGGCTACCCCAACCTAAAATAAAGAATTCTTGTAGTAAGTAAGTACTGTATAGTATTCAGATGTTGGTTATTACAAGAAATGCTTCACCAAGATTCTACTCCCCACCATGTTCGAAGAAGGGTAAAAAAGTTAATAAATTATCAAGAACCCATATTTAGGGTGTTCTCACCTCCACAGGAAAGAGCCCAGGAGTTTTCATCTAAACCTATTCGGCATTTGGGATTCCAGCTTTCAGTAAAATCTGCAATTTCTGTTGCTACTCCCACCATCTGTGAATATACAGAGATAATGATTCAAGTACAGTACTGTGTGTTGGAAATGAATGATTTGCCAATTAAAGGTAAAACAAAATATATATATGCATAGACTGTTCAAATAAGCATTGTGATACACCAGAAAATACCTACAAATAATCTGTGAAATACTCTTATGGAAAAGATAATGATATAATAGATAGTACATTATCCAAGTGTCAAATAAATACAGAGTGTAGTTTATAGTTTTGTACAGTATAATGTATGCACCACATGTTGTTAAGGGAACAAACGATGAAAACAAAACTTGGCTGCATAAAGCATTATATACGACATCAACAGTAAAACTTCTGACCCCTAGACACGTTGAGTACAGTAATTCTCTACCCCAACTCCATCAGGCAATCATCACTGTCAAATGCACTGATCATGACTTCACTTCCATTTTTAATTTTTCTCTATCAGGTGATTCCAGTGATTTTTTTCATTCATTTTGCAGGGAAACCTCAATATTTGAGTATATGCTATACTTTTCTCTTTTTCTCACTTCATATGATTCTCTAATTTTGTCTAGTGCTCTTTTGATTTTTTCTTGAAGGTCGTCACTTTTGGAAATACAGTATGACTCTCCCCCCTCCCCATTTTTTCTGCTAAGAGATTTACAGAACTTAAGAGGGTCCCAAAATTGAGGCTTGAGCACACAGTATATCTGAAATGCACAATATACTGACATCCTGGTACAGTTCCTGGTGCACATGTCCTGGATGGATGGACATATGAACAAGGGTAAACTTTTACAGTATGTTCCTGCTTTGCAATGAGTAAATAATACTTTACATATGAGTGTGACTACAGTACTTGTATACTGTAAATCAGAAATGTCTGTGTACAAAACTGTGTGTAAAATTTGGTCTGATCTATTAATCAAAATACAGTACTATACTTTACATGCATTACAGGTAACTTACCACTTCAGCATTCCATATATGCTCTATGTAGATCGTCCAGCAGTGATACTTATTTTGCAGGAGAGGTTGATTACCCTTAACAACCACCATTGATTCCTGGTCAGTTCTGAAAATACATAATGATATTATATACTGTTTTACCAGTGGCGAATCCTCTGAGCATGCTAGGCATGCGGCTCATGCTCACTGCTCAGAGCTTTTTGTTTGTTTATTCATCTTAAATAATAAATTTACATTTATACTCTAAAATGCAGCCTAGCGCTTAGTAACAGCACTGTGTAAGGGAGAGAGGCCGGGGCTAGCTCCTCTCCCAAGCGCATTGGTAGGTGCTGTTTCACCTCGATGAAAGCCTGCGCGTGCAGCTCGCTGACGCCACAGTCATACCACGGTGAAAGGCAGATATGATGCGCCAGGCCGTGGAGCATCAGTGTTGCTCCATCCACGAGTCCGTGTGGGTCGTGCGTGTTGATTACATTCTTCAGCTCGTGTGTGTTGTGGTGCTTCTGCTACCCGAGTGTTATAGACTTATAGTGTTATAAATATTCTACTTGCGATGGAAACTGTGGTAGAAGAGGAAACTTGTTTAGTTAAGGAACTGCTGGAAAAGCCGTTTTCGAGAAGAAACATTTCAGAGAAAATTGAAATCGTAGGAAAACGTAGATCATGTCCACGAATTCCAGGACTTACCGGTACAAAGAAGCATACAGATAAAAACAAAGAATATGTTAGGCATTTTAATATCACGCAGTGCGAAAGCACGCATTGATTGACTGACTCAAATAAGTTAAACAAACTCTTCTGCTGGCCGTGTTTGCTCTTTTCAACTGATCACAGTGTACCTGTATGGTCAAAAACTGGTTTTGATAATTTGAATACTTTGTCATTGGCTATTTCTAGGCATGATAAATCTTTTAGTCACATAAACTGTTTTCTGCAACTTAATAGTTTCGGAAGAACGATAATTGATCATCAGCTTCATGAACAACAACGAGTCAGTGACCAAATGCACAATGAAAAAGTTAAGAAAAATCGGGAAATCCTGAAAAGACTGATTGATGCTGTATGCTTTCTAGCAAAGCAAAAACTTCCTCATCGAGGCCATAACGAATCAGATATGTCTATAAATAAATGGAATTACTTAGAGTTACTTGTACTGATTAGCCATTACGATCCGGTTAGAAATTCATTTGAAAGAATCAACTATTTTCCGAGGTACATCTTCCGCCATTCAAAATGATTTGATTGCTGCAATCAGCTACTTAATCATGAAGCAAATAAAAGAAGATATTGAGAAAACTGATTTTGTGTCACAGATTTTGGATGAGACGTGATATAATCAATAAGTCACAGCTCTTCTGTTTTTCGTTTTGTTGACCAAAACTGTCAAGTTCAAGAAAGATTTCTTCGTTTTACAGACGTGAGTGCTGATTGTTCGTCAGCAGGCTTACTGGAGCATGTTAAACATCTGCTGAGCGACTTTAACTGTGGGGGAAAACTTGTTGCTCAGACATACGACGGCGCTGCTGTTATGGCTGGTCAACAAAACGGTTTAATTAAGAAGGTACAGGAACTGCACCCATGTGCTATATTTGTGCACTGTTACAGCCATTTGCTAAATCTGACGCTTCAGCAATCAGCAAAAAAATCACAAAATGTAGAAATTTTTTCTGACACTTTCATGTCTAGCAGCATTTTTCTTAAAGTATTCAAAGAGAACATTTGCCCTTCAAGCTTTTTTTGAGAAACAACTACCCAGAGTAGTGCCTACAAGATGGAATTTTTCTTTTAGATTGGTCAACACTGTGAAAGAATATTATGACCAATTGACCTCATTTTTCCATCACATACTTGATCAATCTGCAGAGTGGAACGATCACTGTGTTTTAAAGGGCCAAGGATTTTTGTCTTTCCTCCAGAAATTCCAGACTGGCTTCCAGTTGAATGTTTTTTCCTCGGTGTTTTCTTTCACGGATGTTCTTTTTTACATTCTTCAAACAAAAGGAATGGACATTGCCTACTGCTTAAAAAAGGTTGAAGAGCTGATTGGAAAAATTTAAGAAAATTCGTGAAGACGACTTCGACAGGATTTTTCAGGAAAGTGTTCCAGGAAGAAATGATGAAAACCCAAATAAAAGACCCAGAAGAAGTGAGCAGTTAGAAGAAGCAGGCTGCAGAGGTCTGTTCAATGAAATCTTGTCTAACATTTTAGTTCAACTAAGAGATAGGTTTCAGACAGTAACACAGCTCGAATTCTTTTCTTTGCTGAACAGCAACTTTTTTTAAAAACATTGTAAAGCAGTTTCCTGACAGTGCAGGGAAAAGTTTGGAGAAGCAGTATGGATCTTTCTTTGATATTGAAAGGCTGAAAAATGAGTTAAGTGTTCTTTACGTTTCCCCAGAGTTCAAAGGTAAGCCTGTTTTCGATTTGATGAAAATCATGCATGAAACTAAACTCTATCTGGGAATGCCTGAAGTGTATAAACTTGCGAAGTTCATTGTCACTATACCTGCTACAAGTGCAACTGCAGAAAGGACATTTTCTGCTTTAAAAAAGATCAAGACCTATTGCAGAAGCACACAAGGGCAGGAAAGACTGTCATCCTTAGCGTTGATGTCAACTGAAAAAACTGCTTGGGCACTTGAAAATGAAGCATACATTTTATGATGAAGTGACTGAAAAATCTATTGAAAAAAATAGGAGGATGGAGTTCGTTTATAAGTGAAAACCTGAAAGGGAAAGAAAAGGGGAGAAGAAACCAAGGAGAAGGAGAAAGCTAAGACTTTTGTACACTTTTATATACTGTACTAAAATACAATTAAATTGTTTTTTAATTTATTTCACTTTTTCAAGCAATTTTCCTTTGCCTTTTTTGGCTATTTTAAATTTAAATGAGAGAATAGGTAGCAGGCTAAGTTAATAATACATGGCATGCACAGGCCTACTTGAAAGCTTTTATTGTCATAGTATCTCAAAATAGTATTTAACGTTAAACCACCTAGGTACAGCAGCCCCCTCCCCCTCCCCGCTCTAAAAAATAGAGAGCATGCTCAAGATCTTAGGTCAGGATTCGCCACTGGTATATACTCCTTATATGAATTTCAGATTTCCTTTGTGCTATGTGAGCTCTCAAATATCAAGTCAAAACCTTCAGGTCCTAAAAACTTCTGTTAGTTAACACATCTCCTGGGCATTTAAAGGACAGTATATAAGGTACAGGTGTATTTAAATAAATAATATGCAGTATACAGAAGAAGAGTGTAAGACTCCTGGTGGGACTGGGAGCAAATGTATACTATAAACCCAATGGAAGTGCTTTCAGCAAAATTTCTCCATTAATGAATTTTGACCAGCTCAGGTACAGTACAGCTGTTACATTGTATAACATAGAGTATTTAGTTTCATGATTGGGCTTTTTATACTCACTTTTTATATTATCTGGAAGGGTAATGAGAAATAAGTGGACCAAAATGGGATATACAGCTCTTCCCTGACTTACGACCTTGCCTCAGTCGTACCAAAATTTGGTCAAATTATGTATTTTCGAGTCCCAAAGTCAGTACACAGACAAAATTTTCATTTGTAATTCACTTTAAAATGGCTGGCAAGCTTAAAAGTGAGTGTTTTGTGGTGCTGAGAAGAAAAAGAGACACCCATTTTAGATTTTCTATGTATTACTGTATTTAAGCATTTCCGACTTACGACCTGGATGTCGGTCCCTAACCCCATCGTAAGTCAGGGAGGAGCTGTAGTATATCCATCCTAGATCTGTTTGTATTGAGGGTAGACTCACCACAAACTGAGAAATGATGAGACAGATAGCAAAGTCTGGAAATTTTTTATTTTATTTTTTTTTGAACGGGTAATAGCCCATACGGGCACAGGTCACCGACCCAAATCGGGGCCTGGGAGGCGAAAATGTAATATGTAGTAATAATAGTAGTAATAATAATAATTATTCATAGTAAATAAAATTTATAATAAAAATTATAAAATTAAAAATATAATAATAAAATACTACTATTATTAATAATAATAATAACAATAATAATAATAATAATAACAATAATAATAATAATAATAATAATAATAATAAAGAAATACAAAAATGAAAAAAAAATCAAAAGTGAAAAACAATATATTTATGTATGTTGTGTTGTCAATAGTAAGAGAAACAATTGAGACCCTGCAATTGCGTGTAAATGAGGCAGAAAGTCAGATCAGCAACCTGGGACTTGGTCACAATTTTCGTGATGCCATATGGCAGCAGGGTCTACCATTACACATCACATTAAGTTTCCAATATCTTCCCAGGTGGTAGTACCTCCCTGATTGGGAGCTGCCTGCTGCCTAATACAGTACAGTATACTGACCAAAAAGAGAAGAATGGGATATGGAGAAAACAAGTAGACTAGAACTCAATAGGTGGGTACATCTGTGATCAATATTATAAATTTACATAACAGGAAGAACTACACATCTACAAGGAAAGCTGGAAAGAGTATACCTTGTGTTTTGCTGTACATTATTTTGGCATAATCTGAACATAAAATACATGTACAGTATCTGATAAATTATGTGTCAGGATAGGTTCGATGACTTCCGAAATGCTACATGCAACTCGTGATGTCCTGGGAGGGTTGGTATGCATGTGTCTATGGCATAATAATCCTTCTACATTTGGTAACAGAACATCATATTAATTATGCCGAAATAAGCACACATTACATTACAGTGAGTTCTGCTATAACGCATGTTTTGACAACATGAATTGGCTCGAACGCAATTTATGAATAGAGGAACGATATTTGTATAACGCGAACGCTTGTTTGCTGTAACGCGATTTTTGCTTACTATTTCTCCAATTTTGTGGTATTAACTGTGAATACGGTAAAGAAGAATATCTCCAAGAAGCATTCTGGTGATCGCATTCCCGGTGATGATCGTAAAAGAAAGGCTATAACCCTTGAAGAGAAGCTCGATGTTATTAACCTCAAAATCACCCTTCTCCCCCATCAAGTTATATTCATATTTTTTCAAGGTAAAGTGTTACATTTACTGTATGATTTCATTATTAGATATGAATGTAACATTTATTTAAACTGCTACCCTTTGTGTTAGGCTAACTACTAATTTTTTTCGATTTCGATTAGTAATCTGCACCTAATCCTATTTTCTCCATAAGCCCTGTTATTTCTATTACGCGAATTTCTATAACACGATGTTTTACAAGAACACAACTATCGTGTTATAGCAGAACTAACTGTACTTACCTTATGTTAAATTATGCACAGGTAAGAAAGTATATGCATGCTCCAATAAATATCATCTGTGGTCTCCTAATATTTCACATAGTGTGGACAGATACTTTTCTGAGATACAGTAATGTACAATACATGTATTCTAAGTACAGTACAGTACTACTGTATTTTTAACTTACCACACTAGCTATTAAAAACACTAAACTATCAATAGAAAAGAACTTGTATAATCATATAAGTTGAATTTATGAACTGAGAATTCTTTTTCAAATACTTTATGAAATAAATAAGGTCCCAGGCATGTTTTGTGTATAGTTTACCTTCCACCAAATGCTAATATTTCCTGGAAACTGTCCATATGAATAAAGTTGAGGTAGTCATATGCAGGCGATGGGTCCCATTTCCATGCCAGCTTCTCCACCTCATACATTTTGTACTGTCTGGAAAGTTGGAAATTTTGCAAAATTATATTCCGAAAAACTGAAGGTAGGTTTTCTACTTTTGAATCGTATAACAACACATGTTAAAAAAATAATGTACAGGGAAGCCTCCGTTAACGATGGTTCTACTAATGATGATTCATATTTAAGACCCTAGTTAATTTAGGACCCAATTCAATTTACACCGTTATTTTCTTCGCATTTACGACAAAAATATAATAAAAATAAAATAAATTACATGTTCACATAAATAATAACCAAATCCCGATATGTATTACATAAAAAAATTAAAATAAAATAAAAAACACGCCTTGCGCATGGAGGCTGCCGGGCTTGTGAATGGTAACGCCAGCATCACTAGTATAAACAGTCACAGTTTGGCAGCCCCTTTGTTTTCATGCATCTGAACAGGAAAAGGAGAAAAACTTTCTCAGGTTTCTCACGGCTTTTTTGCGTCCCTATTCAACATGAACAAGAGAGCAAGTGATGGTAGTGTTGGTTCAAAAGCTAAAAGAAAGTGTATCAGCTTAGCTGAGAAACTAGATGCGTTAAACAATATGAAAAAGGTGAGAGGTCTGTGGATATTATATGGAGCACGCAATAAACATATTTTCTAAGGGGATCCATTAACAGAACAAAGCCTTAAAATTAACAGGGACGTGAAAAACTCACATGAACTCCACATAAAGATGTATAATGAGAAAAGAAAGCAGCTGTGCAAGGTTCTTTAGACAGCTTTATTGGAAGGCCTAAACCATCAACTTCAGCTACACCATCAAATTCAGCCTCATAAGCAGCTTCAGCAACAACTTCAGGTTCAATAACAGTTTCAGCAACAGCTATGACATCTTTATGAAAAGCTACAGCTTCAGCCAGAGTTGAACCTGATGACTTTGTCATCTGAGTAAAAACTCGCACAATATTCATTGGCTGTCCTTATATTTTAGACTTTACCCCCATTGGCGAGTAGAATTTTTGTTTTACATTAGTAAGTCTTATTTAAAACATACATGAACGGTAATAAGTGGTGCTTTCATTTTCTTATGGAGAAAAATGACGATGTTTTAACATATACACACTTACACATGTTGGCGCTCCCAATCCATTTCGTTTTTTCTTTACCATTCTTTTTTTTTTAATGGGGATTAGCCCACCCGGACACAAGTCACTGACCCACATCGGGGCCTGGGGGGCGAAAATGTAATAATAATAATAATAATAATAATAATAATAATAATAATAATAATAATAATAATATTAATAATAATAATAATAATAATAATAATAATAATAACAATAACAATAATAATAATAATAATAACAATAATAATAATAATAATAATAATAATAATAATAATAATAATAATAAAAATAAATAATAGTCATAATAATTCATAATAAATAAAATTTATGATAAAACAAACAAAAATTAAATAATAAAATAATGATGATAATAATACAGTAACTGTAGTAATAATAATAATAATAATAATAAAGAATTATAAATACAAAAATGAAAAAAAAGATCAAAAGTGAGAAACGATATATGTATGTTGTGTTGTCAATGGTAAGAGAAACAATTGAGACCCTGCAATTGCGTGTAAATGAAGCAGAAAGTCAGATCAGCAACCTGGGACTTGGTCACAATTATCGTGATGCCATATGGCAGCAGGGTCTACCATTAGACAACACATTATGCTTCCAATATCTTCCCAGGCAGTAGTACCTCCCTGTTTGGTAGCTGCCGTCTAGCTACGTCTATTGTTCCATTTATTAACATTAAATAACATTTCTTAAAACATACATATTCATTTTTTTTACATAAATTTTACTACAGCTACAACCAGGGTCTTATTTTCTTCAGTTTCATATGTAGAACTATCATCACTGATGTATACACAACGAAAACAATGCCGTCTCGTCTTTTCTTGTGTGTTTTAATATTCTACGTATTATTAATGAATTGTATTGCTCATTTTCCATATACGTATAAACATTAATTCAATCAAATAGATATTAAGTACTGTAAAAAACAATATGCACCTTTTGTACATAAAGTATTCTTAATAAGATAAATGATGCGGTTTCCTTGAGAGTGGACGTATACATAGGCATTCCGCTATCACTCTTTTTTTTCTTTAACATCAGTGGTTACTTTTTCTGTACATTAAATGACATTAATTAAAACATACATATGTATTTTTTTTACAATAATTTTACTACAGCAACAACTGGGGTCTTATTTTCTTGTTTCAGATGGATAACCGACATTATGGGTGTAAACACCGCCAACAACAATGGCGTCCCATCTCCTCTTGTGTGACCATATTATTACTGATTTATATTGTGTACTGTTCATTCATAAACAGTATTTAAAGAATAAAGTTTGCATTTTTAAATAATTTTATTGTTTAGGAGGAAAAGAGGGTAAAGAGCCACACAAAAGCAACGAAAAGGTCACACTAGGGAACGCATCTCATTATTATTGCTTTATTTTAATGGTAATTAATGATTCACGTTACAATGATTCACCTTACACTGCAATCTTAGAGGACACATTACCATCGTTAGTCGAGGCTTTACTGTACTGTACTCAACCCTGGTTCCAGACGAGGTCAACCCTTGGATTTTTATAAAATGAGTCGCTATTTTCCATGGAATTAAAATCTTTCAAAACAAAGAGTTCAATACTGTACCATATTCCAATAGAACAGAAGGAGCACAACATTATTTCTATAATGTAAGACGATACAGTTGTTTTTGAAGATACAGCAGCCTCAGTTATTTTCATGAAATAGGTATCGAGAACATTCACAAAATAAAATATCAATATAAAAATACAGTACAGGTTGGACCTCGCTAATCCAGGAAGCTTGGGACCAGAACGGTTCCGGATTAGCGAAAATTCCAAACCATCGAAGCAGAGGTTAAAAAAGGCAAAATAATGCAGAAAATGTACTCTTACTGTCTAATTTCTTCAGTATAGACATCTTTTCTAAAATAGTTAATGTTACTTGCTTATGTTTTGCTGCATTACAACCAATTCCACTGTTTGCTAGTCTCTTAGGAGGCACAATTAGGGGCAAATTATAAGTATTTAAAGGTAAAATAGTGGCAACAGCCACTAGAAGTGAACTATGACACTTTCCCGAACCATCAGGTCCCAGATTAGCAGGGTCCAACCTGTACTGCACATGCATTTCAATACAAAATACTGAACTGTATTGGATTAGGGACCGGAGGCCCCCCCAAATTCACCAAAGCTTAAAAGGATTATTTACTTACTAATGACAACCAAGAAATGCATACTGTACAGTATAGTGTTCTGGTACACCATGGAAAAATAAAGAGAACCGTATAGCACCTGTACTGTGTATATACTGTATATCTGAAGGTTAAGCACATTAACCAGTAACTTGAGTTAATTTCTCTTGGTACATTTTGAGGAGCCAAAGGTACAGTTCCCCAGAAATGTATCATTAGATTTTCTGTCGCTACAATTTGAAACGCTAGATGAAATGCTTTGATATGATCCCCAGTGCAACATCTTAAGTTGGTACGCCTGCACATCATATCAGCAACAGCTAGAGATGGAGGTAGGATTGGGGGTGGGAGTCATCCATGTATGGCATACAGTACAAGTTACTTCAATATAACAAGAAATTCATTAAACTATACAGTATTAATGTTTGTATTATGCTGGGTAGAAGCAAGGCATTTGTAAACAAGCCACTGAATGATAATTACAATAACACTGAAATATAGATTGAATGGAAGTGTTTCAGAACATCGTAACTGAGACAGACCTCAAACCGGACATTTCACCATTAGTACGTCATTGTACTAACGGAGTTTTAATCAAACTGATTTTAACAATATGCCAACTCATGTTGTTCACGATATGTCTGACTTATGAAGAGTGACTAAGCAAATAGCACTTGATATTAGAGTGAACAGCTACAGCAATACCAGTATGCAATATATCAATCTACACAGGATGTGCCATGTTAGTGATATGTAAATTGCATAGGTTTAATTAACACCGAAATAAGGTTTCAAATTAAGGGACTTGCAAGCAACAGAACCCCCACCACCTATAGTAAGACATTTGTGGTTGTAAGTTTTAGTATGGCACCAGTTGTTTCATGGCGCCTAACCCATTGTGATACTGTGGGTTCGCTCACCCAGTTCACCCTACTGTCTCAGCGTTACACATACCTTCGTTGTGAAGGCCAATAATAGCACCTCTCACATCTTGCAATGTCTCCCTGAAAATTCCTCGCTCCAATCGATGTAAGATCCCACTGATGACTGGCATGGCATTGGTATCAATTTATGACATCCACTCTGAGTCATGTAATATATGATCTGAAGCCTCAGAGGATTCACGTCAATCGAAAACACATACATATACTGTACGTACAGGCATACCCATTCATGCTCAAAGGTCGCAGATGTAGAACCACCAACCATTCAGAAACAGGTTGTGTAACGTTGCTCGGAAAACCTCGAATCATAAACTAAGCATACACACCGAAAAGCATACACCCGAAGCATTCATTCAAGTACAGGTAGTCTAATAATGTAGCAAAAAAGTCAATGATTGAATTTCAAGCTGGTAAAAATCATCACACACAACAGATACAGCACTAGGATATGCTTCTTCATGTATGTGAAGAAAATAATGAACTAAATACATCTACTAAAGCTGTGGAAAAATTGGTTAATATATAGGACCAACCCGCCAGGGCTGCATAGCGCCGATGGGGCCGTATCATCTCTCGTCCAGAAAATACCTCAAATTTCAGGTTAGGGTCATCTCGTACCCAAGAAAACTTGTACCCAACTCACGAGATAAGTCGTACCCAAGATTACTTACACCCAATTTAAGAGATAATCCATACCTATTAGTATATATACCATGCATTTTAGCTTTATCTATGATTACAAAAGATTATGCAAATCTTGTTGGAAAGTGAAGTGAAATAGGGAAATGTAATGCAGGCTTTAAATGGTTGCAACTCATTACGTACGGGTAAGTACATGTACTGTATGTTAGTATTCTGTCACACAAACCTTGCACTACAAGTACATATACACACTAAGTGGTTTATAATAACTTCCTTGCAATATACAGATTTCAGGCTTATAGATTTGGCAGTTTCAATTTATAAACTGGGCAATGTAAACATTTAAAATGGTCCTAAGTCAACGAAATATAAACATGCATAAAAACAGATTGATTTTCCAGCTCCAGCTTTTTGTAAACAAATCAGTTAGTATACAGTATATAATTCAGGGCTCCTCTCTGATAATTCTTCTGGTATAACGAACTTGTTCAACCGAGTGGGTGACATCGTCAGGAATTTCTTCTGACATGTCAACGTCAAGAATGAAATACAGTAGTAATAAGGGTATAAAAGAACGAAGAGTGAGAATATTGGCCAAAACATATACAATTACAGTGGAGTATGCTATAACGAATGTAATTGGTTCTAGAACCTTGTTCGTTATAGCATTCGTTCATTATAGGATTAATCCGTTCCAGGCCCCCAAATACAACCACTTAACACTGAAAAATATAATATAAAATTGTAAAAATTGTAAAAAAGTGCATAAATATGCATCTAAACCCCTGAAACAAAGAATATCATTAATACTTGTAATAAAAAAAAATAAATTAGAAAAAAAAAAATTAAATAATGTTCGTTGTAGGAGTTTCGTTCGTTATAGCATTCTCAATTTTATAGGTAAAACCGTTCGTTATAGGAATATTCGTAGTAGGATCCGTTCGTTACAGCATACCCCACTGTAGTTATGTTATTGTATATTAATGATACTCGGGATAAATTTGTTTAAAATGTCACGACCACGGAAACAAGACCAGTATGAGTAACATAACTTCATTATGTGTCACCCAATATTCGGGCTAGTCATATATTAAAATCGGTAAAGGTGTAGATAACGGGTCCGACTAATTACCCAAATGTAGCCGCAATGAAGTCAAATAATGGTCCTACCTGAATAAATCAGACTGCCAATCACTTCTCGACTAGTATTTGGTGTCACGAAGTCACAAAAAATTGGTAAACTTAATTTAATCTGAGTTAATAGATCGAGTGCATGTACCTAACCTAACACAACTCAGATTAAATTAAGTTTACCAATTTTTTGTGACATTATAACACCAAATAATAATCGAGAAGTGATTCACAGCCCGATTTACACTTGTAAGACCATCATTTGACTTCATTGTGACTACATTTGGGTAATTACTCGCTCCCTCGGTACAAGCACGCGATCTATTAACTCGGTTTAAATTAAGTTTACCAATTTTTTGTGACTTTGTGACACCAAATACTAGTCGAGAAGTGATTGGCAGTCTGATTTATTCATGTAGGACCATTATTTGACTTCATTGCGACTAAATTTGGGTAATTAGTCGGACCGGTAGATAACGGCTACCACCAGAAGGAATTGTCTGAATTGGTAGAAAAATTTTCTACACACTAATATCATGATATTAAACACAAAAATGAAAACGACAATGCATAGAACCTGACCTAACATATCTATAGGTTGGTTATGTTAGGTCAGGTTCTATTAGGTTCTATGAATTATCGTGTTAATTTATGTGTTAAACAACTTACCTTAATATTGAGGTTGATATACATCAACAAAGGCAAGGATGAATTCGTGGAAGAGTTCACCATCACTTATAGGAAACGACTCTTGAAGAGGGATTCAGTGAGGTAAACAACAAAAATGGCGCCGGGAGGAGAATTGTGAAGCGGGATAGAGTTCAGTAAATAAACAAATAAAAAATACTAAACATCATAATATAAAGTTGTCGTTTCTTTTAATATACTTAAAATCACCAACACAATAAGTACGGCAAAAATAAAGAATATCAACAAATAACTTGTGGTTGTAGCCGTTATCTGTACCTTTACATTAAAATCAACCTTGTCCACGTTTTCATTGTGGAACTATATACATATAATATATATACTGTATATCTGTATATATGTGTGAATATATATTGGTACAAACTCTCGTAATTGGGTACGAGTTGACATGTTCTGATGGGTACGAGTTGCTTGGGTATGAGTTGTCCAGCATCCCCCAAATTTCACCTTTATCATAAGTAAGTTCTTTCTGTTTAATATCCCGAGAAGTTAGGTAAGGTTAGGTTAGGTTAGGTAAGGTTAGGTAGGTTTGTTTGGTTTGGTTGGTTAGGTCTGTTCTTCATACCCACAAATGTTAAGCATCGTTTATTTTCTAAAATGTAAATTTCTAACATAATTCCACAAACTACAACAGTGTCCACTATAATAAAACCATGAAAATCCGGCGTTTTAATAATTGTTTTCAATGAATTTCGCTCTTGTATTAGTGCTATATAACCATCAAAAGTTCAGTTACTAACCTTTAACATAAACAAATCAATAAATACTTTAAGTTAAGCACCAACAATAAAGGTATATACAGGTCCAGCTGCCTCACCACTCACGGCCACTTGTTAACTAAAGCAAAACTAAATTTACTGAATAATAAACTAAAAAGGAAAGCTCCTTTTATTCATAATATCCATTTGTCAAATACACTTTTCTTAGTAATATGAGCAAATGATAAATTAAATAAAAGTTGCATTTAATTTTTTTATTAATTTATTGCGGATTTAAGGAAATTTGAAAAAATAAACAAATACCTGTATTGAGTATTAGACCGTTAACTAGACCTAATTATCTAATGATCATTGTCTTTTAAATACCAGGCTATAATATATATATTTATATATATATATATATATATATATATATATATATATATATATATATATATATATATATATATATATGTATATTTATTTATTTATTTATTTATTTATGGTTTAGGTGTGTAGTGTAGTGAGTGTGTTTACAAAATATTGTATTGCAATATTACAAGAGGTCGAACACTTGAACTCTGGAGAGGAAGGAATAAAGGATACAAGCAAAGGAGTAAGTAAAATTTTAGTTATGCACATCCCCGTATTTATATATCCACAATATGTGGTTTCCGACATATGAAGGTCCAACTCCTTCAAAACACTTAAAAACCCATCGGAAAAAACATAGTTTGGATATCTTGAGGGTTTTAGTGATGTCTCGCACTCAGGATGGGATGGAGAAGGAAAACTCTTTATGGCGGTTTTCTTATAAATATATATATATATATATATATATATATATATATATATATATATATATATATATATATATATATATATATATATATATATATATATATATATATATATATATATATATATTTTTTTTTTTTTTTGTAAGCACAGTGCAGTGCTAGGGAGTTGCTGTGTGGTGAGGAGCTTACTGAGAGGAGGTGTTGTATGTTGCTGGGCTCTAGGTTGAAGGGCTTTAACGGCAAGGCTGGGAGCTTTATATAGGAGGTCCGCTGGAAGTAAACGTCGCTGATAGCTGGGCCCACTCTGTCAGACCACGAGGCTTTGGCTGGGAGACTCGAAAAGTGATCGGCTGGTCAGCGATAAATGGCAGTGGCAGTTGTAGGGGAGAGTATCCACTACAATCTAACCTAATTCCTAAGATTCCCCGGATGACCGAAACTAAAATTGTAAAATTTTAAATAAATAGATTAAAAAAAAGAAGTTAGTATATAGGACTAACCCTCCGGGCTGCATAGCGCCTATGTGGCCGTATAACCTCGCGTCTAGAAATGCCTCAAATTTCACCATATCATAGTAAGTTCTTTCTGTTTAATATACCGGGGAAGTTGGGTAAGGTTAGGTAGGTAGGTTAGTTTGGTTTGGTTGGTTAGGTCTGTTCTTCATACCCACAAATGCTAAGTAACATTTATTTTTAAAATATCCGTTTTTTAACATATTTCCACAAACTGCAACAGTGTCCACTATAATATAAAAATGAAAATCCGGTGTTTTTATAATTGTTTTCAATCAGTTTTGCTTGCAGGTTAATCCTATACAATTACCCATTTTTTTAACACATTTGCACAAACTACAACAGTGTCCACTATAAAATGACTGAAAATCCAGCATTTTTATAATCGTTTTCGATCAATTTCAGACACGGATTAGTCGTAAATAATTACCAATGTATTCCTTGGTATTATTTTTGGGGTGTAGTAGGCAGCTACAAAACAGGGAGGTACTACCGCCTGGGAAGATATTGGAAGCACAGTGCATTGTCTAATGGTAGACCCTGCTGCCATATGGCATCACGAAAATTGTGACCAAATCCCAGGTTGCTTATCTGACTTTCTGCCTTATTTACACACAATTACAGGATATCAATTGCCTCTCATACTATTGACAATACAACAAATATAACCATACTCATTCTTGATCTGTTTTATTCATTTTATTTTATTTTCCTATGTCAGTTGATATTAATATTGAAGTGGGGCCTTCTCGGATGGGTCCCACTGGTCGGGAAGGTTGTGGACCCCAGGGCTGACCTGATCGTCATAAAGTTACTGGGGCCTCAACTGACGCCACCGCGGTTGCTGGAGGATCGACTTTTTTCACACTTCACTTTTCCAACATTCGCGGCATGAGATTCAGTTTTCCTTCTGTGGATCACCATCTATTAACTTCTCCCCACGACCTCTTACTACTATCTTAACTTCAACTGACCAAAGCAGCTTCACCCAAACCTTTTCAAGTCTCCAACTACAACCTTTATACCTCCTTCCGTTTTAAGAGAGGTGTATGCGCCTACTGCAACACATGTACACCTATAGCCCGACTCATGGATCTTGAATCTTCCCTTTATGATGTCATCTGGCTCAAGATATCTCTACAAACTGTAACTATTTTTCTTTGTTTCCTATACTGTTCTCCCAACTTTACCAACTATTTTGAACTCTTTGACTATCTCACTTCTTGCCATGAGTCGTTGCTATCCACACACCCCAACACCGGGATCTTCTACCTAGGGGATTTCAATGTACATCACAGAGACTGGCTTGGCTCCGCAAGGGATGACCCAGGTGGAGCTGAGGCACTCTCTTTTTCCTTACTTAATGATTTAGAAAAACTACTGTAATCAAACACCCTACACGCTTCCTGATCGACACGATCAACTTCCTAACATTCTTGATCTTTGCTTTACCTCTAACCCTCACACTATTCATACTCAATTTCTGCCCCCTTAGGTTCTTCTGATCACAATCTTATTTCTATTAAATCAAACTGGGCAGGACCACCTCCCCCACTCTCTCTAACGTCAACTATGGCACAATCGGAGGGCAAACTGGCAATCCTTGCGAGAATTCTTCACTGACTTTCCTTGGAAGCATGCCTTAGTTCAGCCCATCCCGAAGAAGGGTAACCATTCTAATCCCTCTATCTATCGCCCCATTGCCCTAACTTCATCCCTCTCTAAGATTTTTGAAACTATCTATAACTCCCATTTTCTCCGTCACCTTGAACGCCATTCTATTTTGTCGGATCACCAGTATGGCTTTCGCCATACTGCTCTCCTATTGGACCCATCTTTGGTCATCCTCTCTTAGGGATTATGGGGAAACTTTCATCGTGGCTCTCGACATCTCCAAAGCATTTGACAGGGTATGGCACAAGTCTTTGCTTTCTAAACTTCCCTCTTATGGTTTCTCTTCCCCACTTTGTTTTCTAATCTCTAGCTTCCTTGAGAACCGATCCATGGCAGTTGTTGTCAAGGGATCGATCTCTCGCTCTTTCTCTACCAATAGTGGTGTCCCACAGGGTTCTGTTCTTTCACCTACTCTCTTCCTTCTTTTTATCATGATTTACTTCACACTACAGTATATAGTACACAGTGGGGTCAATTTTTATTTTGTATTGTTAATGATAAGTTCAGACAAAAACAAGATGATTTTCATGTACAGTACAGTGTGACACTAGTTTTCAGATTTTTAATTCCCAATATCTCGATTATGAGTAAAGACTGCCAAAAGTGTCATAGATGAAAATCTTTTTGTTTTTGTCTGAAATAATCATTAGCAATAAAAAAAAATCCAATATCGAACTGTCTTCTACTGTAAATTGACCTTCAATGGTGAGAGAGATGCATATTACCTCTGCAGCACTAACACCCCTACACTGTATTTTGTTATCTGCTATTACATCACTTACCACCTTACCAACCATATGGGCAGTTGTTCTGCTGATTGTTACTTTGTCTTGAGCTAATATCCAGTACATGATAATGGGTAATAGATGATATATAACACAGTACACTAAGCAATGATATGCAGTACAGTATTGTACTATATTGGATATTAGTGCAGTACAGGGGGTCCTCAGGTTAAAATGGGTTCCGTTCCTGAGAACGTTCGTAAGTCGGATTTGTACGTAAGTCGGAACACATGCTATATGCATACCGTACTTACAAAACAATGTTTAAAATCCCACTATATCATAGCCTAAGTCCTTATATAAATCTAAAATCACATAATTTAAGACAAAAGAAGAAATAGAATGACAAAATACAGTAAATGACAGTAAGAAACAAGTCATCAGGTAAATAAAATACACTACAGTCTCTCCTCGACTTACGGCAGCGTTCCGTCTCGACGTCCAGGTCGTAAGTCGAAAAGGCGAAAATAATACATAAAAATTCTAAAGTGGGTATCTCTTTTTCTTCTCAGCACCACGAGAACTCTCACTTTTACGCTTGCCAGCCATTTTAAAGGGAATTACAAATGAAAATTTTGTCAGTACACAGCGCGATCACTAACGTCGGTACAGTACTAGAAAATACGTAATTTGAAAAATATTTTATACGACCATGGCGGTCGTATGTCCGGGTTGTCGTAAGTCGAGGAGAGACTGTACTGTAAATTTCAAATTTAACCCCGTTCGTGTCAGCAGGCGTTTGTAAGTCGGGGACCTTCTGTATTAGTTCAAGTATTTCCCTGTATTAAATACAGAGACAAGTAGCTAAGAGATCGGTTAATGACAAAGAGGATAAGGTAAAGTAGAGTAAGAACAAAAGAATTAAGCTTAAGAACAGTGATAACTACAGGTATTGTACAATATATTTCATTGAAGGTACTGTATTTTTGTTCTTATGATGCTGTTTCTGTGCTTCAACAATGATAACAAATTATGAGAGATAGAACTACTACAGTATCTTGTTATTGGAGAGAAGAGATGCAACAACATTTACTGTAGTGCAACAGTTGCATTGAATTACCTTTTCTGCCTCTTATGTAAATTACTGCATAAAGAAAATTTTTTGTTCTTGGTGAGCTTTTTTATTTTATTTTAAATTATAACTTCAGTTTTACTTCTTGAATTTTCAGCAATTTCACTGCGCTTCTCTTCATTATGTTCTCTACTGTACTGTGACTAGTAATGTCATAAATTGTCTTTATTTCTCCACAGTTCAGCTGCATTAACAAGACATGAACCGCTATATAGTTAAAACAAAGAAACAACCAGGCATCGATGAAGGAGCTCTCAAAAGAAAGAAGCAGTCAGTGCAAAAATTTCATGACCTGAAGACTGGAGTGAAAATAACTTCACAAAAACAACTTATATGTGAGGAAAATATAAGAAAAGTAGATGGAGTGGATCATGATACAAGTGAACTTAAGAAAACAGCAGAATTAATTGATCCTTATTCCTCCTATTTGTATAAGAACCTAGACTTGGCTTTTCCTAGTGTAAGAACCGACAATTTACAGTGGAGAAAGATAAGTAAGGACAATCTTGATCTAGATTATACACTGTTGTTTCCGAGGAATGTTGCAAATGCTCTTGTACAAGTGTTTGAAAAAGAGTTGGACTACTTCACTGGAACCCTGGCTAAAGTTAAGATTTTTGGCAAGTGGCATGACATACCCAGGAAACAGGTACTGTACCATAAATGTTTATGAGTGATATGCTATACAGGTACTCCCTGACTTACGACCGACTTGACTTACGTCCACCCGCACTTATGACCTGCCTCAGTCGTACCAAAATGTGGTAAAATTATGTATTTTTGAGTCCCAAAGTCAGTATACAGACAAAATTTTCATCTGTAATTCACTTTAAAATGGCTGGCAAGCTTAAAAGTGAGTGTTTTGTGGTGCTGAGAAGAAAAAGAGACCCAAATTTTCGATTTTCTATGTGTTATTTAAGCATTTCCTACTTACGACCATTTCGATTTACGCCCTGGATGTCGGTCCTTAACCCCGTCGTAAGTCGGGGAGTACCTGTACATCTATATAGCTTTTCCTTCTGTATTTGTTAGTGGTAGAAACTACTGTAATAGCTAGTTACGTATATAATATATGTTATACTCATATTTCCTGTCAAGAGTTATTCTCCAAGTTGTCAGTTAAGGGCTCAGGAGACCTTGATAACAGTGACTGGAACTAATGTAAACAATTAGTAATCCTCCCTCAAGTCAACTACAGTATAGTCCAAAAAGGGGCATTTGAGAGTTTACCTAAGCTTTTATTTTCTATGTTTTTTTATTTCTTTGTATTATAATGAAGGTCATTACCTCCAACAATTATTCTAGGCAACTTATGGGGACCCTGGTCTGACCTACAAGTACAGTGGCATCAAGACACCGGCACGACCCTGGCCACAACCACTAGAGGCTGTTCGTGAATTAGTCTGCAAAGTCACAGGCCACAAGTACAACTTTGTACTGGTCAACAGGTAAAGATAGTGACCATTTACAATACGGTATTGATCTTTACCTGAGATTTGGGGTATGCTAACTTGGATCATAATTATATATTTTCCAGCACTTAGATTTATTAGCCACACTTTGATGATGCAGTGTGTAAGCATCATAAATGACAGTAATTGTGTGTTATTTATAGAAATAGATTAAAATAAATTTGGATATACCCGGTACTATTAGCTTTTGAAATAGATGTGAACAGTATTGGCTTATGGGTATTAGACCTTTCATTTTTTTACTTCTGATACCTTAAGATTTACGTACATGATGATAGTGGTAGAGGTTGCCTATATATTGTACAGTAATCAGAGAATACAGTATTACCCCGCTTTATGCGGTTTCACTTTCCGCGATTTCTCATTTACGCGGTGCCCCGCCAGAACCGAACTTTCACTTTCCGCGGTGCATCTACCCATATATGCGCAGAGTGTCTGGCTCGACGCTATTTTTAGATTCGACCCTTCTGCCTGCTCCCGCCTGGGCAAGCCGCGCGGTAAGGTTGCGCAGTGCATGTCTCTGTTGCATTATCAGTGACGTCATATGACGTATCGGACTGTGATTGGCCATGCATCCTTACCTCCCTCCGCTGCTAGCTGTGATTGGTTTAAAGTAATATGACGTGTCCACCCGCGGGAGGGAGGGAGGAAAGACGACGCTTGACCTAACCGCGGCAGTTTCATCCCTCCAGGCCACACCGTGTATACGTGCATCCATTGCTCTGTGAAATGGCTTCCGCCGGACCACCGCCACCAGAGAGAAACCTTTCCTTACCTGGACCCAGCCGCCCTAAGCCAAAGAAGATACGACGTTCCCTAAGCTATGAAGTGAAATACCAGATAATTCAAGATTTGGAGAAAGTAACACGTCAAGCTGATCTCGCGCGCCAGCATTGAGTCAACGGATCTACGATTCGTACTATTAAGAAGGATGTAGCCAAGACCAAGGAGCACATGAGAATCACAAAGTCTGCAGGTGCTTCAATGATCAAGTATTGCCAGAACAAGGTGCTGCTAAAGGGGAAAATTTGCTGGTGAGTTACTTGATTCGTCAGGCGCGACGCAACATGGCGGTGGACACGCGATCCGTTCAAGAGTACGCACGTGAACTGTACGCAGCAGTGTCACGTAAGATGGGAATTGCAGAGCCCAAACCCTTCAATGCTTCCTCTGGTTGGCTGCATAGGTTTAAGAAGAGGAACAATATCACCAACATCAACATTGGTGGTGAAGAAGCGAGTGCTGACCGTGTGGCGGCTAGAGATTTTCCTCCGTTCTTACGTGAGGTTATGGAGGAAGGGCAGTACACTGACGACCAGGTGTTCAACATGGACGAATCCGGCCTATTTTGGAAAAAGCTGCCTACCAAAACCTTTGTTGTCCAGTTTGCCAGCAAGATTCGGGGTCGGAAGTTGCAGAAGGAGCGCATCACCGTCCTCTTTACCACCAATGCCTCCGGTACCTGTAAACCAAAGTTATCAGTGATTCACACAGCCCGCAAGCCGCACGCCTACAAGAACGTGGACATGAGCAAGATTAATGTCCACTGGCTGACCGCACGCAAGGCGTGGATGTTCTCTGCTCTGTCACTCTCCTGGTTTGATGACTGTTTCATTCCCGACGTGAAGAAATTCTGCGAGCAACAAAATGTTCCATTCAAGATTTTGTTGCTCCTTGACAACGCACCAGGACACTCGACCCTACTTATGGATCGTCACCCCAACGTAAAAGTGGTCTTCCTTCCTCCCAACACTACGTCATTAATCCAGCCCATGGACCAGGAGTTGATCTGCAGTGTGAAAGCTGCATACTCGGCAAAGAAATTCAAGCTCCTGAACGACTGTACCAACACCAAGGATGAGTTGCGTAAGCTGGGTGACACCGATAGCGAGAGCAAAAGCGACAAGGACAAGAGGTGGTGACTCAAGAAGTTCTCGTCAAACAGTTTTGGAAAAAATTTAACGTCAAACAAGCTGTAGATTTCTTGGTGGAGGCATGGGATCAGCTGTCTATAGCTACGAATCGTCACGCATGGAGGCATGTGTTGCATGGCATACCAGGTGAGAGGCGGAGTCAACCTGTGACTGGTGAGGTTCAGTCTGTGACAGTGGCATTGGACCTTGCAAGAGAAGCTGCGCACAGTATTACAGCTGAAGGCTTGTCCGAGACCACCAACGAAGACATCCTGGAGGTGATCAGAGATCCTGAAATGACTGCCGACGAGATGTTGGAAGATGATAACGTCAGTGAAGAGGAAGGTGGTGAGTCAATCCCAGAAGAACACAAATTAACGCATAGTAATATTAAGGGTGCCATCGAGTGTGCAGAAAAATTACAGCTCTTCCTTTCCAACGACCATGACGATGACCGCTATGAAGTCTTCCATACCCGGCTGGTGCAGGCTATGGAGCCGTACATCAAGGTGTATCAAGACAACATCAACACTAGCCATCAAAAAAGCATTACTGAGTTCTTCGCCCGCAACCCACCACAGCCAGCCAGAGCCAGTGATAGTGACAGTGAAAGTGACTTTGAGGGATTTGTCAGGGAGGCCCTGACAACTATGACTGATAGTGATGGTGATTCACCTAGTAATGGTGATTCACCTGAGGGCCAGTAATCTGCCCTCTGCCTCGGAACCAGCCTCCATCCCCGTATGCCGACCCATCTCTTCTACTAATGTAAGTGTTACACCCAACCTTTAGTTTTCCTAACCTAACCTTTATTTTTCCAAACTTAACCTTTATTTTTCCTAACCTAAACTCTTCTTATTAATTGTGTGTGCATACATCATAAAGTTAAGATAATATTTTTACTACAACATAGTTGTGTGTCGTCAAAAAGTGGAGTTTGGGAGTCGGGCCAGTCTCTATTGGAATTAATCCCATATGTTCTGTTGTTCACTTTACGCGGATTTCACTTTCCTCGGTACCCTGTGGGTTCAATTGACCGCGTAAATCGGGGTACTACTGTATTCAGAATCAGTGTAAGGTAACTAACTATGCACCCTCAATTTTTTTTTGTACTGTACTTACATCCTTCAAACCCTGTGTACGTCATGTTTTTCCAACTAGCATGTAATTACCATAAAACCCAAAGTTGCTCAACTCACAGAAATGAACAAAAGTCAGTGGACTGTACAGTATCTAGTTTAAGCCATTTAACCAGTTGGCTCTCATAATACAGGCTACTTACCGAGAGGTTCAGTGTCCTGTAATGCTAAACAGGATTGATATGTTAATCCAATTTAGGTAAAATAATCACCCTCCCTTCCATATCACCCCCAGCTGGTAAAGGTCAGGTGCTATAGCCTTCCATCAAGGACACACATCTCAGTCTATTTTGTCCCTGACTAGCTTGCCTTTTATGTTTGCAGAAGCTAAGTAACATCAGGGATGGTTGGCAGGAATTACCACAGTTTTAGGTGTTATATATAAGTTAAGAGTGGGTCTTTGTTTTGCACCTAATTTTTTCTTTGGGGTTTGTTTTCAAGATTCATGTCCTGTTTATGGGTGCTGGTGAGTTGGTGTAGTTTTAGGACCAACTTTACTTGACACCATGCGTTAATTTCACGACACAGTGGCTTGCTCTAACTTAGGATAATACCAGGTGTTGGGTCTTGCCTAAGTCTAGTTGGCTACCAATAGGATACTCTCTATTCCAGTTCCCATGAATACTGATTATTCTATCTTAGGGTTAATAGGTCTGCATGTAATAAAGATCATTTCAAGAATCATTGTTTGATTTTAAGGGCTCTTGAAATCTTTAAGGGGGTCTGATGTTGACTATACTGGAATAAATCACTTCTCATAGTCTCTGAGATATCCTGACTGGATAACTCAGAGACATCCTGTACTGTACTGTATCTTGATTCTCTGAGGGCTTGCTTTTAGTCTGATGACCTCCCTGGAGGGGTTTGTAGGGACATCTTATTTCTTTGTTGTGATTGCTCCTATTGCACTCAAACAATTCAATGGTCCATGATATGCTTACTTCGTTACCAGTGCTATACACGATTGTCTATCTCTGAATAATATAAATCAGAATTTTTTCAATGCCTCTGACTCATGAGTGTAGTGCAGTTGAGCATGGTGTAGTTATTTTATTTCTTTGGGATGGGAAGGTGATTTTGAGGGTCTTCCTACTTACTTTCCATACGTAGATGTTTCCTTTGTGTGGGAGAGGGATGCCATGGACAAATGATCAAGTGCCTTTTTTTTCCTTTTGGCAGGTTCTTTGATGTTTGCCTTCATCTTTCTATGACATTTATATTGAATATTGGGTTTAGCTGAGCGTACAGCTTTATTTATAGGCTCAGAAGCTTTGTACAAACACATTTGTGTTTTCCAGTTTCTATTATACAGTTGAGTCAAGATTTTGCAGTGCTCAGTACTGTAGTTGTCTCCCCTCCGTATCACCTACAGTGAATAGTCTACTGGTGTATGTACAGTCGCCGACAAAATATTCTTGACATGTCTGGTAGCATCTAAGACAACATAAACATACCTGTACATAAAAGCCAAAAATCATGCATACTGTATAAGTAACACTTTTGTTTGTCTTGCTTCATGGAACACGGGATAGGAGAGTGAAACATTGTGACACGATCTGAATATCTATATGAGTACAGTAGTGCTACCAGACGTGTCGAGAGTATTTTGTTGGCTACTGTACATGGTACAGTAATAATAAAATAAAACCTATACTAGATAATAAAACCTATACTAAATATAAAACCATAGCACAAATATAATACAGTACAGTACTGCATTATAATACATACACACCTGGTAGATTGCAAGGTTAGGTTCTTGTACCAACTGTAATGTAGCAGATCTTGATCAACTTTCTTAACATTTGCCAAACATTTATTGTAAATGAGAAATATAAAATTTGTAAGTTAGAGAATATCTTCTCAATTCCCTACCGGTACAGTGTAACTGGGATCTGTTAATTGTATTATGTCCTTGCCTGCTGGGTGCAAAAGTTGAATTGCACTAATATTTATTTATAATTGTGTACATTTAGATTTACTTTCAGTTTCATGTTTACTTTTGATTTTTCAATTGTGTCCAAGAGGAACCCTTTTCAGTATAGTACTGTAGGTTTATACAGTATATATAATGTGTACATGTACTGTATATAAAGTTCCGATTTTAATTGAATTACAGTACTATATGTCTATTGTAAATAATAAAGATATGTTTTTCATATTAGATACAAGGATGGTAGTGATAAAATGGGTGAACACAAAGATGATGAAAAGGATCTTGATGCTCAGACCCCTATTGCTTCTGTAAGTCTTGGTCAGCCAAGAGATTTCTATTTCCGTCATCAAGATGCAAGACCTCCCAAGAAATTGAATATTGACAAAGGTAATGTTAGATGTTGTAGGTAAATCGTGTGGTATTTTACAGATACAGTATACACTGTATACAGTACAGTACATGTGCTCCCCGACTTACGATGGGGTTAGGGACCCAAATCCAGGTCGTAAGTCGGAATGGTCGTAAGTCTGACAAAAAAAAAATCTACAATGAAATACAGTACAGTAAAAGTAATAAATAATGAGGAATGGATACAGTGTGACTGAGCACTTACCTTTAATGTAGTCAGCTGAATGCACACGGGGCTCCCATAATTTTCTATTTCCAGGTATACTGTACATGGAGACTATATTAATCAGATGAAGCAGAGGAGGAGACAGGGCTGGGTGGGTCATCAATGTTGCTCTCTTCAGACAGGTTTATGTACTGTGGAAACTTGCTGGTTGAAGGTATTGGATCATCTTGAGGGAGTGAAAAGGCAGCACTGGTGGGGCGTGAGGAGAGCGCACTGGGGGTCTTCTTAAAATAGATGTCCAATTTAGACTGCACAGTTTGCTTTTTCTTTTCGTTATAAATTTCTCTGTAGCAAGCAAGTGCATCTTGGATCATTCTGTCAACTTTGGCAAAACGCTCATAATTTTGATCCATGCCATCAAACATTTGCATTCCTTTATTAATTATAGCAAATGCCTCTGCCATTTGCTTCACTGAAAACTTTTTGGGGGGTGCAGGTCCTTGTTCTACATTTAGACTGGCTTCTTCCTCTGCATCTTTGTGTGCTTCCAGTTTGTGAGATCTTCGTTACTGAGCTCTTCTGCTACACTTTCAACCAACTGTTCAACATCTTCATTATCAATTTCTAACTGAAGCTGTTTACCTAACTCCACTATCTTGTTACTAATATCCGAAATAACTTCATTTTCATTAAATCCTCTAAAACTGTTCACCCTTTTTTTCCGGACTTTCTTCCATATTCCATTCATGCAATGTTTTGTAACCTGATCCACATTGAATATTTGCTCAGGCAAATAATTCCCCTCCACAATCACATCATCTAACTCCTCCTTAAAAGCTTCGGCAGCACCAACATCAGCACTAGCTGCCTCTCCACTCACCTTAACATTGTGTAAATTGTAGATTTTTCAAATCTGTTAAACCACCCATGACTTGCTGTAAAGGTTTGCTCACATTCATCTCCTCACTTTCCGCGGTACCCTCCGGGTTACATTAACCGCGTAAAGTGAGGGTTAACTGTGTATGTATGTATGTATATATATATATATATATATATATATATATATATATATATATATATATATATATATATATATATATATATATATATATATATATATATATATATATATATATATATATATATATATATTCTTTGCTACTTATCAAATGTGTAAGTGTGAACATAGAGAAATAAATTAACACTATAAATGCAAGGTTTACTAAACTAATTAAGTAAGATAAATAGTTAACACATATTTAGATAATTTAATCATATATATTTATCTTTCAGTGCAGCTCCAGCTTCAGCATGGGAGTCTTTTGTTGATGAACCCACCAACAAATCAGTACTGGTATCATGCTCTACCCCCACGAAAGTCTGCACCGGGAATTAGAATTAACCTCACTTTCAGAAAGATCATACAAAATTAACTACCAAATAAGTAGAAACTGATATTCAGGGGAAAGTAAAGTCATTTTAATTACATACATATTCTTGATCAAAGTGGAGGACTGAGTTCACCCCTTGTACTGTACATCAACCCTTGCACACTTGGTAATGAAATGAGAATTTGTATAATATCAAGTGCACTTGTAAATTGTGGAATAACCCTTCAGCGGACTGTTGTCCTGCAAGGAATTTTGGCATCCCGCAACAGTACTTAACTGCTGAATGCTAAAAGTCAAGGACACAAATGCATACCAACTTCTTGTGTTTTACTCTACTAGTCAATAAGATTTTATCCCTCACTATTGGTAAGTGGGGAGATAGTACACAGGCCTCTGGTTGGTAGTCTATAATGTTATTGTATTTGAACTTTTTGTTGCCAATTTCTACAGATGTTGCATATATAATGGACATGTACACTCCCACCAAAAACTTATGAAATGCTATAAGCACTATGCAGTCTGAAAAATGAATGAAGATTCTGAAACCATTCCGAGATGACAAGCCCCATTCTGCTCATTATCGCGTCCATTGTGCCCAGGTGTTCGAGAAATTTTTGTTGAGAATGTACAGTTGTGGGCAAAAAGGCTTCAGCAGAGAAACTGGTGTATGGGAGAGTAGGGTAGTAGGTGGGGACTTCGCAATGTAGCATCTGGATGGTGATGAGTGTTTCCTCAAACATTCAACTTTTACAGATTTTCTCTTTTTTTGGTGAATTGAGTTAGTTACAGCATCTTGTTAGTGAAAGCTGTTCCTTCCTCATAATTAAACTAAGAAAATCAATTTGTGATGTGAAACCAAAATTGCTGACTTTTAACTGCTACCTCTATGCAACGATGGCAAGTCTCCTACTTAGCCTTATCCTCCCATAGAGCACCTCCCTCACTCTTTGCCTGCCATATTCATATTGTCCTCAACTGTACATGTTGCATTGTTGAAATTTAATAAAATACTCTCTACACAGATGTACCTTTGGTTTAGTACGGTTTTGAACTTTGTGATTTTTCAGGTTCTTTTACATTATAATTTTCATGAGATTCACTGTGCAGGTATATATATTGGGCCTTTGTAAAATATGAATATATTCAGATATATTGTATCTTCATTCTTTTGATTATGTTGCCTGACTACATGGTGAGTTAAGGTATGTAAGATTTTTCTACCCAAAATTTCATTTACACTTTTCATGCAGATGATACAGTAATGTCATATCTTAATACTGTATCCAAAGGCCTTCTCAGCTGTAAGTTTGCACTGTTTCCATTTTCACTCATTTAATTGACTCATTCTCATTTTGATGCGTCAAACTGTAATATAATGTTATTACAAAATAATACTGTTAGAGAAATCTACTCCAAATGTGATTTACTGTATAACAGAGAGCCTCCTCAGTCAGAATTTCACATACCTGTATATACAGTACCTGGATTTTCATTCCTTTCACTCAACCCTTTGAGGACAGTGATGGCAACTCATGGTCATTGATGGGGGAATATCTGAAAAAAAAAAAAAAACACTATAACATAACAGCATCTAAATCTTAACATAAACTCCTGAAGTATGTCATAAAAATTCAGGGGTTGGAGAGAATAAACAAAGAATCACTCCAATACCAAGTGAAAGCCTCATTGCTGGATACATGGATTGTAGAAACTACCCCACCACCGCCAGCATATCCCTCATCCTCATCACTTAGTTTCTCCTAAATTCACTGAGTTAAATCTTAAAGAAAGTTACTCTCTTCATTTATATCACTGTTGTATACATGGGATGATCATCCTTGTCACCAGACAGAAATACTGTACAGGTACTGTACTGTATAAGGGAATCAATATCATCTTGCGTGCAGCACCACAAAGAGAATATACAGTACGTATAGCAACAGTTGCAAGATATATCTGACAAGGGTTAGATATCATCTCTAATCATTACCTATCAAACTATACAATAGTTCAATGCTGTTGAACAATATTTTTCAGTTGGATGCCAGCCATACCTGATATTGGTTTCCGTGGTAAGCATTGACCTTGGTTAAAAAGAAGAAATTTAGTTTACCTTCAGTGTATCATTAAATACATCACAATCCTATGTATACAGTACTGTACTCTATTTTAGGACTCTTTCCTATTAAGAACACATACAGCTCCTCCCTGACTTACGACGGGGTTAGGGACCCAAATACAGGTCGTAAGTCGAAAATGCGAAAATAATACATAGAAAATCTAAAATGGGTGTCTCTTTTTCTTCTCAGCACCACAAAACTCTCACTTTTAAGCTTTCCAGCCATTTTAAAGTGAATTACAAACAAAAATTTTGTCAGTACACAGCGCAATCACTGACGTTGGGACTCGAAAATACATACGTATTTTGATAAAATTTTGGTACGACTGAGGCGGTCGTAAGTCGAGTAGGTCGTAGGTCAGGGAGCTGTATATGTATTTGTATTCTGTACTGTAAGTGGGTCCCATAGTAGACATGACTACCTGTTAGGGACAGTGGATACAGCACTCTGTAGTCTGTATACAAAAGGAGACAACATGGCCACTTCTGGACTTGATCGCCTTAACTTCCCCAAGTTGTAAACCCCTGTACAGTGCCCAATTACAGCTGGTTGAACTAGGAGCGCCCAGGAATTGAACCACCAACCCCTGGAACAGGAGGCAAGTGCTGTATCCACTCTACTGCCGCACTTGCTTTTGTACTGTACACGAATTATACAGGCCCATGCATCAGTTATTTATCTACATATTGTACAGGCTTATGAACTAGTTATTTATCATAATATACATATTGTACATGACCATGAACCATTCATCAATAAAGGATAAGATATTTTTGTTATGCTATAATTGTCATGATGATGAACACCCTTATCCAACCTTGCTGGATACCTACAGACAAACTTCCTTGGTACCTACAGGCTAATTTCCTTGGTCCTACAGGCAAACTTCCTGGGTAACTACAGGCAAACTTCCTGGGTAACTACAGGCAAACTTCCTGGGTAACTTCAGGCAAACTTCCTGGGTAACTTCAGGCAAACTTCCTGGGTAACTACAGGCAAACTTCCTGGGTAACCACAGGCAAACTCCCTTGGTTCTACAGACTAACTTAATGGGTAACTACAAGCAAACTTCCTTGGTACCTACAGGTAAACTTCCTTGGTACTTACAGGTTAATTTTACAGGGTAATTACAGGCTAACTTCCTTGGTAACTACTGTACAGGCTAACTTTCCTGGGTAACTACAGGCTAACTATAGTACATATTAACTTCCTTGGGTACAAAAGGATGACTTTGGTAAACAAAGGCTAACATTCTTTAATGCAAGTTCATTTTTGTGGCAACTACAAACTCGCTTCCTTGGTAACTCCATGCATAAAAGAGAACTGAATGCCCAACTGGTTGGCTCTCTAGCCAGTTGGGTGGTTTGTTCATTATACTCTGTTACACAATGTGGGCAAGTAAAGTACTAGGCATGTGTTGGCCCGAGAATGTATCTGACCCCCAAACTTGGATCATTCAGCAACCAGTGGGTTTGCAGGATGCTAGTCCACTGATTCATTTACTAGGTGCAGTAGTGTTGTGTAGGGTTATTTGTTACTGTATCCAAGGTAGCCACTAGTAATGAAACTAGAAAACCTTATGATGGGAATCTCCCAAATCAGCTGGTATAGGAGTAAACCTGAGTACCCAGAGAAATCCTGTGGTTTTCAGTAGCCAGGGGTCACACTGGACAACACCTTTCTCACATCCAACTTGGGATCAATCTCAGGATGCATTGGCGACAGTGAGCACAATACCGCTGTTACTTTTTCAACCATGGATTGATGTATCATGAGACACAATGCAATAAGTAGGAGTAGCAGTAAAGATCTAACCAAAGTACAGTATAATACAGTACTATATAAAAGTAAGAAAACTCACTCAATTCATAATATCACTTTTTACATCATCTAGACAACTGTATGTAAGCATGAAGATTACTTCTTCAGAAAGATTGTATCACTTGAAGATGTCCAATGCAGTGACTTAAAACTCCCAAAACTAAGACACTTTCAATGTTTAGGGATGCTGAAGGGTTCCAAACTGAAAGCTCTTCAAACAGGATACAACATGGCAGACTTTATTGATATATTTATAACCCTGAGCATGATGAAAAATATTGTATAAAACTCTGTCAATCCCGTTTATTGTGATTGCTTTTGGAGAAAAAAATAATTTCCAAAATGTTCTATCCTTTTCTTCTAAATTATCTAATTCAAACCTGGCCAGTTAATAAGCTGGTAAGTGTTGAAGAAGAGAAGTACAGTACAGTAATTAAAACTTTGATTGTAATACTGTATCTCCATTAACCGGAATCCCTCTTAACCGGAGCTCTGATAGCCAGAATTGAAATTTTCGCGGAAAATCGTTTTCAAAGCTGGAATTTTCTGGAAAATTCCAGCTTTGAGAAAAATTTTCTAGGGGCACATTTTCTGGTAAATTCCGAAAAAAATTCCCAGTACCCGGAAAATTCAGGGGATGGGGGAGTTTCCTCCCGGGTTTGAGAGATGAAATCAGGCACTTTTTTCGGAAATGCCAAGAAAAACTTTCAGGTACCCAAAAAATTCCAGGGATGGAGGATATTTTTCCAGGTTCAAGAGATGACGTAGTGCGCATTTTCTGGAACTTTCGAGAAAATTTTTCTGTTACCCGGAAAATTCCGGGGATGAGGGATTTATTCCGGCTTTGAGAGAGTTGTATTGTCACCTGGAAATCTCTCATTCCCGGAAGTGTTCTGCACCAACTGTTCTGGCTAATGGAGATATCACAAGTTACTTTTACTTTTATCCTCTTCGCCACCAATCGGCTTGTTAGTTGCTTGGGCAGTCGGTCATGTCTCTGTTGTACACTGTTGGCAAGCACTGAGCACGTACTGGTTCGTGAAAGTATCTGTATCTGTACCAGTGTTGGTCAAGTTTGGTCTTGAATAAGCTCACATTCGGTGCTGTCTCACTCCAAAAAGTTTGCCCTGACAATTTTCTGAACTAGTGGCTTTTTTAGCCTTGAACTGTAACCTGTGACTCCTAGTGGGGTGGGCATTCATCATTTCCTGGCATGAACACTCAACTGAGTAATGCCCTCTGAGATGTTTATAAACTTCAGTTAATTCACCCCTTGCCCGCCTATAGTTCTGTATAAGCTAGGCAACTGCAGGTGTTCCAATCTCTCTGGGTAACTGAGGTACCATAGCGCAGGCTCCAGTGTGATGGCCCTCCTTTGGACGTTTTCAATCATCTAACAATTTCAAACATATCTTGGGGACCAAAACGGGTGACCGTATTCTAAACGGGGAAGCACCTCACTCTTGAAGAGCATTACGAGGTATGGAGCATCTAGGTATCGGAATGCCCTTCTTATAAGACCTACTAGCTTAGTTGCTTGATCCACCTTCTTTTCACTGTGGCCCAAAAACTTCAGTTTGTTTATACCCAGGTTCTTTTCACATCAGTCTCTGTTAATGCTGTTCCTTCATCCTGTTGGGAAATGTGATACATCTCCTTCCTGTTGGTACAACCTAGGTGCATCCTCTTATGCTTCATGACATTGAATCTTAACAGCCATTCCTTTAACCACTCTTGAAGCTGACAGAGATCTTTCTGTAGCTCTACACAGTCTGTTTAGTTATTAATTTCTCTGAATAACTTGGCATAGTCTGCAAATATTTGTATAGAAGGGTGAATAGTTTCTGGCATGTCATTTATGAAACGAACAACAATGGGCCCAGTACACTGCTTATCATGAGTACACATGGTGATGTTGTGCCATTAAACAAGTCGATAAATGTTCTTCTCTGGTATAATTTTTCTTGCCAGTTACATGGATTAGTTAAAGAGAATCGGGAGACAAAACAGTACAGTACTGTGCAGGAAACCTCACATAAATAAACTCTACACCAGTGAAGTGACATAATGGGTACTTTTTGGGTGAGACCTCCCAACTTTGCCGTTGTTACATGATATGAAGAATCCTTTGAATGTATTGTTTGAAAGAGTCTGACATTATGTATTTTGCAAGGTTTTCAGGCAAAACTTTTTCAGTGCCACACATTATTGATGATGGTGAAGAAGCTCTGGTCACATTAATATATTTTCTCAAACTCATGGCTGAATATTTTTGACTAATCAAACAAATGTGTATTCTTGTGATAGTTTTATTGGTGAGAAATTAACAATTTAAATAAATATTTGCTTCTATATAAATTTTACAAATGAAAGACCAAGTGAAAGCTAAATTGATTTACAGTAAAATTGTAAAGGTACCAGTAGTTATTGTATCATCAGCATTTAAAGTTTTCAGGGGAAAACTGCTCAGATATAAATACAAACTTTCCCAATGTCAAAGTATTAACTTTTAAAAAGAAATCGGAAAATTTTATAGGGGTAAAGGAAAGGTTATATGATGGTAAGAGTAGGAGATGGAAGCCTTCAAAATTACCCACACATCTTCACATAGATGGCTGGGTCCAGGTCCTTCACCAGCTCTCCATCTTCACATGCAACATCATCTCCAAGATCACTTATGTATTTTGCCTCCAGTACGAGCCAGGCCACACTGCAGTCACAGGAAAGGGGGTTACCTGGCCAAGGAAATGAAGTTGTAAGATGCTACTCTACCTAGAAATGAGATTGTGAGAAGTTACTTGGCCAGGGAAGAGGTGGTAGTGAGAGGTTACTTGGCCCAGGAAGATGAGGATATGAGGTTACTTGGCCTGGGCCCTAGGAGGAAGAGGTTGTCAGGTTACTTGGCCAAGGAGGAAGAGGAGGTTGTGAGAGGTGTTTGGCCAGGGAGAAGGTTGTGAGAGGTGCTTGGCCAAGGAGGGGGTTGTGAGAGGTTACTTGGCTAGGGAGGAGAAGGGTGTGAGAGGTTTCTTGGCCAGGGAGGAGAGGTTGTGAGAGGTAACTTGGCCAAGGAGGAGGGGGTTGTGAGAGGTAACTCGGCTTGGGAGGGGGAAGAGGTTTGGAGGTTACTGGGGAGAAAATGGATTGTAATTATCATCCTATACCACTATTTATATTAATAATAAATTTATTCTACATTGTAGTAGTATCATTGTTGTTATTATTATTAGAAGTAGTTGTAGTAGTAAACAATGCTACCATCATGTGTCATTTCATAATTAGGAATATAACTTCCTGTGATTTTTTTTTAAATGATAGTTTAATGTGTCAACGATGGTGAGGTCAGTTTGGTAAAGTTAATAATTTGCATATACAGTAACTTTGTCAGTTAATTTTCTCCTATTCAGCTTGAACTTTTGCCTTTAAAAGTTGATCAAACATTCACTGTGCATTGTGGTTGCACTAGAGATGTAGTGTCATAGTTTTTATTGTAAATAAAACATTAATTATGGCTGTTCTGACACCATGCTTACCTGAAGCATAAAGAATGACTCCGGCATCAAGGAGTGGTTGCCATACTTTATCGACCAGCTCAGGTAACAAGTTATTTTCTAACCACAGCTCTCCTGTTGCACCTGGTCAAGGGGTTAGACATATTATACAGTAATTACATTTATGATTGGAAAAACATGAGACCTAAGTATTATTTCAATCACTAAGTGAGAACCAAACACAACAGAATAGCACTGATCGGCGGTGACGTCATCAGTTTTGGGGGTTGTGTACGCATCACTGCGTGGGTAGGACAGACATTCGTGTTCTACTGCCACTGCTGGCACAAGCAATGGTCAGTACATGTGAATTTCGTCATATTAAACTCACTGAAAATTATGTATCTGGGGTACGATTTATCCACAGTGATATTACACAACACTTTGTTTGTCAGCTGAAGAGATGGCTGGAATGTAGAGGCTTGCCAGTCGCAGGAAATGAGCCAGCATTAGTGCCAAGGTAAGGAAAAATGTGCAATGAAAATGGCTACAAATTAGTACAATATGTCTTGCTGTTTGTGTTGTTATGACTTCGATTTATGAATTGCATGTCAATATGGCTGGTTATTTATACAATACAATATACCATGTAGGGCTGGGAATGTTTCATACAGTGGTATATTTAGAAATATGTGCATCTGTGTCTATAACACCATGCCATCACTGGTATCATGAGACAATGACACTGAAAATGTAAACAGGCCCACTCAACATTATTGATACCATGCATGTACTTAATTCCATTGTCCCCAGACGTCCTTTGTCACGGTGTGGTGGTTGCGCTTTATCATTCAAACTGGTGCAATGAACCAGAATGTTTGTCCTACTTTGCAGCATACCTTTACAGTCATCCATATGACTTTGAGACAATGTGATTTATCAAATGACAAAACCTTATGCTACTGAAACTTAAGATTTGCACCTAATTTTGTGTGTTGTTTGACAGTCAAACAAAATAGCTTTATTATGATAAACTTTGTGAACTGGGAGATGTTTATTTTACCTTTTATGGCGCTAACTTCAATACTGGTGAGATCGTTTCCACCTAAGTATATAAAGTTGGTTCCGTGCACTTCTATTGTACCTGCGTGAAGGATGGTCAAGGTGTTGTTTTCCAGGTGAACTTCCGAAAGTGAAGTCAGCCCCGTCAAAGTTCCTGCAGAAGGCAATAATCTAAGTATGTATAATATATCTAGGGGCTACTGTTGCAGGTGAAAAACTGGAAAAACTATTAAACAAAATATTGTAGGTTAATCTGAACAGACTTATAGTACAGTATAGGCAGGCAGATTAAGAACAGGTGGACCCTGGGGCAGCACAGTAACATGGGGCTCCCTCCAATATTTTACCTTATCTACCAAATGGCGACCCACAAGAGGTAGCCATATGAAAGGAAGGAGGCCAGTGTAGGATCCCTTCATTGCTCTTGATAATTTTGGCAAGGGCTATTTTGAAACTCAGTACCATACTGTTCCTGATTCCACAGCTTGGGTTGGTAGACAATTTCACAGGTGTACCACCCTGCGTATGACAAATTATTTCCTTATGTTCGTTTTGTATGATAATTTGGCAAGTTTGAAGTTAGTGGTGTGTGACACAAGAAAGAAATGGCCCGGATTCACGTTTTCATTCCTTCCAGGATTTTTAATGTTACGATGAGATCTGTCCTGCTATGCCTCGTCTGAAGGGTTGTTACCCAAGGATCAAGGTCCTCAAGTCTACTTCGATAATCTAATTCTAGATGACATAGTTCCGAAATCTTCTTAGTCGCTTTGTGATGTACCTTTTCTTGGAATGATAGGTATTAAATATTAATTTACAAATACACAAGGGTGGATCCAGGGGGGTCCGGACCCACCGCTTGCCAAGACGTAAGGTGCGCAGGTCGGGTCCTGTTGCGTCTCCGTAATAAAGCATGTTCAGCATTTGGGCCTTCGTTGTTGAGCGGCCGAAATTGGACAGTGATTACATAAGATCATCTTAGTGATATGAAAGTGTAAATCGATATAGGATTTTTAATGCTAGACGCAATTGTATTTTTGAAAACTCAATCTCCATCGAGTTGGAGGTACAGCCCAGGTCAAGAGGCCTACAACCACAAAATCATTGCCATATGACAAAGCTTTTACTGTATTTTATTTTTTTACGGAGTTGTGGTCACGGCTGTGATAAAGGCCAACTAGGGAGTGTAGTACTGTGCCTTTAGTTAAATCAGTTCATAGTGTCATCAGTGACTGCAGAAGAGGTTGTAAATAACTTAAAGTGAATACAAATTGGCAAGCAAGCTGGTAAGGCACCACTGCCAGCAGAAACCAAGTCGTGTTATAGGTGCCACAGAGACTTTAAATTTTATTTTGTTTGTGTGCTTTCTCATGGACTGAAACTGTGCCTACAATACACCATTCATAGGGAGATACAGTGTACACAGTGATAGCACAAAGAGATATAGTCGTTGATGAGAACGGGAAAAGAAAGTGCAGTACAGTACAGTATAAGGAAATAATAGTTAAAAAAATAAAATAAATAAAATAAAATCAACAAGCTGGCTATCCTAAAGGGCATTCTATTACTGCCCCCAAAAAAGTTTTATTTTATTTTTCTGTGTTTCTAAAGGACTGAGTGGGTGCATAAAATCCGTCATTCATAGCAAAATGCAGTGTACATAGAGATAGCACGTAAATACGGACAAATTGCCGAAGTGAACTGAAAAAAAAGAGAAAAAACTGAAGACAACCCTAAAGGCAACAGGGGAGGTTAAAACCAGCAGTGGGCGGCTAAGTACTGTTTTTTTTTAAATAGGAGTAGATCTACCGGTATACACAGTCTTCACCACCCCCACAGCAACAACGAAAATAGATGAAGCTGGAGTCTTGCTGGTTGCCAAACTAGAACAAGTTGGGAAAGAGATCCTTGCTAAGACTGAGGAAGTAGCCGACAGAATGGAGGTGGTTGCTAAGAGGAGTTATGCTGAGGCATTAACAGGGCCACAGGAGGTGGCGGAGAGTAATGCAGGATCAGAACAGGTTCTACAGCAGCTAGGGACTCTGAAGAAGTGTGTCGAAGAAATGAAAATTAACGGACCTACTGTTAGTGGAGAGGAGGAACAACGGGAACGTTTCCAGCGCAGGAACAATGTAATAGTTTTTGGAGTCCCTGAGAGCCAGGCGGAGGGAACTGAGAGTAAGATAACACACGATAAGATGCAGTTTAAGAATATTTGTACGGAGGTTCTGAAGATGCCATTAACCCCAGGATGTGAGGAGGCTAGGAGAAAAGCAGGGGGATAAGCCTTGCCCCCTCAGGATCACATTAGTGAGTGAGGAGGAGAAATGGGAGGTTATTCAGCAGGCAAAAAACTTAGCAAGGAGCGAGGCATCTCGGAGTGTATTCACTCACCCAGATCGCACGGTAATGCAGAGGGAACAGCACAAGAAGCTCCTGCAGGGCTTGAAGCAGAGAAGAGAAGAGTCAAGGAGGAACGGGGACGGGTGTACATGGGTTATATTCAGGGTGAGGGTAGTGGAAGCAAGTGTGCCGACACAGGGCCAGGGGGCAGCAGCGCAACCTTCACCCGCTCTACCCCCCACCTGGGAGGTGGCACCAGCTCCGCCTGCCAGCCGGGAGGAGGCGAGTGCCGTGTAAACAATGACATTTCTAACCACACCCTGCAAAATACAGTGTACTTAGCAAATGCTGCAGCTTCTGAGAATGGGGGGAGGGGGTTTACTACTAGGGGCAGACACGTTATCGAGAACAAATTCTGGCGTGAATCTCATGTACACTAATACTGACACGTTCCTTGATAAGAGAGAGGAGTTTGAAACACAACTGAAGGTACACCAACCAGATATTGTAGGAGTTGTAGAACTGTTGTTCAAGAACAGGAGAATCAACCCAGAGGAATGTGAGTTCAGTATTGCTGGATATGACTCATTTACAAACCTTTCTCAAGAAACCTGCAGAGGGGTGTGGTTATCTATGCTAGGCAAGACCTTAGAGCCAGCCAGGCGAGGGTACAGGGAGAGGATGTTTTTGAAGAGTCTAAGTGGTGTAAAATTAAATTAAAGGGAGGGGACTTACTTATCGTCAGGTGTATCTACAGATCTCCAAACTGTGGCCCACTAAATCAAAGGAATTTAAGAGCCTTAATAGACAATGCGGCGCTGCTCAACCCTAGCCACCTCCTTATCATGGGAGACTTTAACTATGGCGACATCGACTGGAGAAATGAGTTCACACCAAATGACTTGAATAACCCTGCTACTCTTTTTGTGGAAACTGAAAGATAATTTTCTGTTTCAACATGTTAGAGACCCAACACATTACAGAGGGGAAGCAAACACCCAAGCCACTAGACCTCATCATAACAAACGAGGAGGTTATGGTGGCCAAACTGGAACACCTTGCCCCAGTTGGCACCAGTTACCATATTGTGTTTTCATTCAGATTTAACTGTTACCTAGTTCAAGATAAGGCCAGGCCAAGGTGCAAATATCACAAGGGAAATTACAACGGGCTGAGAAAAGATGAGGGGTATCCACTGGCCTGACTCATTAAGGCACAAGAACGCAGACACTACGCTGACTATCATAACTAGTAAAGTGACCCATTTGATCGATAAATATATACCCAAGACCAAACCCAGTGCCTCTAGGAACACGAGGGGATCCCTACACCTGAACCATGCGGCGGTTGACAAAGATAAGAAGAAAACTCAGAAATTCAAGACATGGGTTGGGTCAAACTATGAGCAGGACAGGAGGATGTATGCAAGAGCCAGAAACCAAGCAAAGGTAGAGTGTAGAAGGGCTGGAAAGGAGTTCCAGAGGCTGGTTGCAAGCGAGGTCAAGTCAAACCCAAAGGCATTTTACCGCTATGCAAAGTCAAAATTAAAAAAGCGAGTAGGAGTATCAGACTTGAGGCTTGAAGACGGTAGTTATGCAGATTCTGACCAGGATAAAGCCGAGGCATTAAACAGCTTCTTTTCCTCGGTGTTCACAAGAGAGAATGCGATTAACCTTCCTGCGTTTGAGGACAGACGGTTCGACACAGCACTGACCCACATTGGGTTCACAGAAGAGGATATTAGAAATAAACTGTCAAAGCTAAAGGTCCATTAGAATCCCAGTGCTAAGAGAGTTGTGCAACGAGCTTGCCGAGCCCCTGAAGATCCTGTTTTGTAAATTCCTGGATGAAAAAGGTCCTCAGTGAATGGAAAGTGGCTTATGTGAGTCCTATCTTCAAGAAGGGCGATCGTCACTCCATGAACAACTGTAGACCGGTGAGTTTGACCAGCATAATAACGGTTTTATGCCGGGGCGCTCCTGCTTAACACAATTGCTCAAGGTATTGGATATTTGGACCCATATTCTGGACGGGGTGGTAATATCGACAATATTTACCTAGATTTTGCCGAGGCTTTCGACATTGTACCCCACAAAAGGCTGAAAATCAAACTGGAAGGGTACGGAATTCAGGGAAATGTCCTAGCGTGGATAGAAGACTTTCTACATGACCGCAAGCAGTGTGCGGTGATTAATGGCACAAAATCATCATCTGTATCTGTCACAAGCGGGGTACCACAGGGCAGTGTATTGGGCCCGCTGTTGTTTGTTTGTTTCATAAATGACATGCCTGACATTGTACACTCCTCCATACAATTATTTGCCGATGACGCCAAGTTATTTTGGGAAATCAAGAACCATGCGGACTGTGAAGAGCTGCAGAAGAATCTCTGTGGGCTCCAGGAATGGTCGAGGAAATGGCTGCTGAGATTCAATGTCACGAAGTGTAAGAGGATGCACCTGGGGCGTATCAACGGTAAGGAGGCGTATCATATGTCCCAACGGGATGAAGAAACTGCACTAATTGAGACTGAATGTGAGAAGGACCTAGGTGTGTATGTTGACAATGAGCTGAAGTTCTCGGGCCATTGCGAGAAGAAGGCAAATCAGGCAAATAGATTATTGGATACTACAGTCTTATAAGAAGGTCATTGAGATACCTAGACGGTCCATCCCTCGTAACGATCTTCAAGAGTGAAGTGCTTCCCCATCTGGAGTACTGTCACCCCGTCTGGTCCCCGAGATATGCTAGGGACTGTCAGTTGGTTGAAAATGTTCAAAGGAGGGCCACCAGACTGGTGCCTGCACTTCG